ATATTTTCTTTGTTTGTCATGAGAATTCATAGTATCACGTGGCACTTATTGATGTATTTTCTTTTAACGTCCTGTTGCATGCATCACATCTACAAAAGGTATTAGAAATGGTACCCTGCATGTCTGCAAATGATGAATTTGATTTTAAAAGTACAGGTACACTCATATCCTGTTTACAGATATTCGTTTGATTTCGTCGATAGATTTACCATATATCTTACATTAAAAGAGGATTATGAATGGGCCTTGGCCTTGGCCTTGGCGGGGGAGACCCGAGAATCTGGCGCGGGCGGGTGGGTTCGCGCGTCTCTGGTTTCTCTGGGAGCGGACATGTGCAGATTTTGATGCACTTTGTTGATGGTCCATTATTTGATTTATACTGGGAATCTCGCTCAACAAACCTAGCTTTTCTGAGGTTCCCCTTTTCCCCCTCTCAGTTAAGTCAAGCAATATAAAATATTTTCTCTTATTCTCAAACTTGAATGTACTCTGTAAACTTATTTGATTACGAACATACTTGTCAGTATTTCGTTACTTCTATAATTCATTTGTTCTATTATATATTGTATTATTGTATGGTTTATATATGTCATTTAATTTGTGGATATTTGAGTGAAAAATAAATCAAATCAAATCCAAAAAAAAACAATTAAAAAATGATGAAACTTGTAAAACAATCTTCCAACTTGAATCTGTAAGATATTTATGTCTTCAACCATATTCAATAACTGTCATTAGAAATTGCCGTCATTACTATTTCGTCTCGTCATTTACACTTTAATAGACGGTGGCTGCGACCTTGTGTAAAATAAACTAATATAGATGGAGACTATGTAGTTTGATTATTGGATAAATAAACGCACTATTAACAAAGAGTTAAATATTAGGGTTCGAACCCCTGCCACAGCGCGAATGTCCTTCGGCAAAACATCAATCTACATTTGCCATCCTTCACCCAGGTGAAATAAATGGGTACCCGGTAGGAAGAGATAGATTGCTTCAATGCTTATCATGGCCGCAGGGCTAAAAGCCGGTGTTATAATGTGATCGAGAGTAGTATACATATTATTGAAAATATCCTGCGTATAAACCTCTTCAAACAAAAACTATTATAGACATCTATCTCATTCGTTTTATTTGTATACGTAAGGAAGATGTGCGTGAAGCCAAGCTCAGACAATATGAGTTGGACAATACATGGGTATGTGGAAATACCCGTACCATTAAGCAGCATATAATTATAATAATAATAATAGTAATAATAATAATAATAATAATAATAATAATAATAATAATAATAATAATAATAATATATAATCTTTTATAGTCCATATTTTGTAATCTTTTATTAAGTTAAACCGAAAATGGAAATTCTTTTTGCCCAATTGATCGTGAGCCCGGCAGCCACTGAGCAGCGCCAGATCGACATTGCTCTATCCCTTATTGTTGAACACCAAACAAGGTCTTTTAACGTCTTTTGATATGACGCGGCCGGGGTTCGAACCCTCGACCTCCCGGTTGTGATGCGGACGCTCTACTGACTTAGCCAACACAGGTACATGGACACGGGCAGGGGCGGCGATCCTGGGCCCGATAGGGGGACACGTCGCCCTGGAAATTTAAAAATACAGCTAGAAAGACATATAGCGGAAAGAATTATTGGGCTTAGGGATTTTCTAGAATGCATAATTTCAGCATTCAACATTGCAAAATCTCGCTTGGTCGCTACGCCCCGGCCCTCGCCCGATAACACAAAACTATTAAATGATATGATATGATATGACGCTCCCGGCCGTGATTTATCCATGGTTGGTGTAATAGATATTTTTTTCCTTTCGTTTCTACTAACCTAATTGTGTGCTATCACAATCATGATTGCTTCATGTTCCCTTTAAAGCAGGCGTGTAGCCAAGGGCGGTAGGGGCAGTAAGAGGACATAAGACAAAAAAGGAGCAGACAAAGAAATATTTTTGAAAATTCCGAAAACGGTACAACGAATCGTCTTATTTCTCTAATAATTTAATGACATGTTAAGCTTCTGTGCTTAGCGCGGGAGGGGGAGGGGACTGAATTCAGTGAAGGATTAAAGGCACGCTTTACTACTTCAGCCAGAAGGGGTTAGACCACCAAGCGAGCCAGCAAGGTCACTGTGACAGGTGGCTATCTCATTAACTCAGCTCTCATTTAACGTAAGAAAAAGAGGATCATGGGGGAACAAAAGACACCGATTGGGGAAGTTTTCTATATAGAGGGAGCAGGTAGCTACAAGTAGGACAGTCGAGAATGGAACAACCAATCATCTTCTTCCTCTAACAATATCATTAAACTATGGAAAGTTAAAGCTTCCGCGCTTCGCGCGGGAGGGGGGGAGGAACTGAATTCAGACAAGGATCGAGATTCGAGAATGGTACAACGAATCCTCTCCTTTCTCTAATAATTTAATGAAACGTCAAAGCTGCCGCGCTTCGCGCGGGAAGGGGAAAGACTGAATTCAAACAAGGATTAAGAGTCGAGAATGGTACAACGAATGGTCTTCTTTCTCTCATAATTTAATAAAGCGTCCGAAAATTACGCGCTACGGGCGGGCGGGGGAAAACTGAATTCAGACAAGGATTATTTTAGAGTCGAGAATATAACGAATCATCTTCTTTCTCTAATAATTTAATAAAACTTTTGTCATGAAAGAGGCTTTAGCCCCTCCCCCCCCCCCCCCCCCCGATGAAAATGTCAAAAATTGTACCGGTATGGTGCTTCTGATATGACCTTGTCAGTATTGGTATGTTGAGTTGTAAAAATGGTCTGCACACTTTCCAAATTTCCGGCCCCCCCCCCCCCCTATTGGAAAATCCTGGATCCGCGCCTGTAGATGATAATAATAATAATAGCTAGTTCTTATATAGCGCTTCTCAGGACCGAAGGCCCTCTCAAAGCGCTTTACTGATATATATATTATTACCGTGAATGATATCGTGAATGTACTTCAACATTGAACATTTGGGCATATATTTCTGCTTTTTTTTGCGAATTTAGGTTGAAGAATTGCCACCTAAACCTCTGAAGGCAATATTTAAACAATATTAAATGGATATTTTGCACCAAATTCCCTTTAACCGCAATGTTACCACTACCGGTCTTTACCTTTAACTTGAAGCTTCAATGCGACAATGGAGGCTTGCTGTCCTCCATCCCGGGCCCCCCCCCTTTTTTTCTTCATGTAAACATTCAAAATTCAATAAAAAAGAACATGAAAAATGCTTATATCTTTTCTAAAAGGATGCACATTTCTAATAGTGCAACTCTAGGAAAACGATCCCCCCCCCCCCCACCCCCTGCCATATCGAAATCTTGAATCTGCCCCGAATCAGAATTAATTTCAAACACCAGCGATGCATTTCATGACAACTATAACACCGACATAGCAACAACCAATGCCTGTAAAGCCTCAGTCACACATAACATTACGACGATTTTGTAAGATCTTCTTAAGAAGGCCGTACGAAAACAGCGTTAATAGACCGTTCGTAAGTCGCAGACTTGTCGATAGTCTTGTCTAAGATTTTTATCAACCTCGTTCGAAACCCTCTCTTCGTAAGGCGGTCTTACGAACGTCGTAATAGCATTGTAAGAACCACGCAAGGTCTTCGTACATTTCGTAGAATCGAGAGACAATTCTAGAAGCCTGAAATTCTTACGATGATCGTAAGAACGCCTTAAGTTGTTGTAGGGGGATCCTACGGTGTTCGTAAGAATGCCTTACGAACAAAGATTCGTATGGCATTCATACGAAAGACTCCTGGCGTTCGTTAGGCGTTCATATAGTGCTTGTAAATCCTCGGTCACAAATGCCATAACGAACTGCTACGAACGCCGTACGAACGATTTTCAGACAATGGAAATTTGGGAAGACAATGGAAAAAAAGGGAGATTCGTACGAACCTTTGTGACTGTAGCTTAAAGCTACGGTCACAAAGGTGTACGAATACAATTTATGCAGCGCCCTTTTTTTTTTTGCAACCCGACAAAATATACCAAAAAATCGTAAGATCTTCATGCGAATGACTCGAGAATTCCGTCAGTTACACGTACGACCAACTTGCGAGAACAACAACTCGTAAGATGGCCGTAAGCCTCACGTTAGAAGAACTCAAGGCATTCTTACGAGAGAAAAAAAACGAAAAGTTGAACGCGTTCGTTCGAACTCCGGAAGAAGGACGTAAGAAACTATGCCCCATCAGATCTACGAATCTCTACGAACTCTGGAATTCGTACGAACATGGGGATTCGTGCGAACCTTCGTGACCGTGGGCTAGAAGCTAGGGGAGAGAAACATGTAGAAATCACAAAGTAAACATTTGTTGATTGGATATCAAGAAATGACATACACAAATTTATCAAGTATCAGTTGACATTTCTTGGAGAGCATATCAAATAAAATATATATGTTCATTAGTAAACAGGTTCAATGTTTGAATGGTATTCGAATTCTAATACCATCGGCGTGAAAAACGGGAGAAATCAATCATACATATATTATTGCCAAAATATGATTGGTATCAATAAGATTATAGGAATCTAAAATTCTTCCAGATATCACGCACATAAACAGGTGCATTAAAATCCATGTTGCGTAATGTATGAAGACGACGTTTTAAAACAAATTGCTTTGAGACTGTTCCATTATAGCTTTAGAGGGGTAAATTGTGAGAAAATATGTACATCATTTTGAAGTTTGTCTTTCTTATTATCATCATCTATCTAAAAGGTTAACATTTTAGAATATATTTTAATCTATGCATTGAAATAATGTATGCTAAATGAAAAGGCGCAAAGTAAAGGAACTTGATGTATTTTTAGTGCAGTTGACTACCCTTTGAGAAATCGACGAGCTTTCACAAACTTTCTTCTATTTTGAGAGGAGCGGTGACGGGTTCTGGTATCCTCGTCCAGCAGGTGACTGCGCCGCACGGTAAGACATGTAACGTATGTACATGTAAGCTGTATGTAAGGTAAAAGACGGAATGCACGGAACTATTGAACCGATAACTGCTGTTAGCTCATCTATTCTTATTCAAATTTTACCCTTTCACAATTGAGAGCACCTGGCTAGTTTGCTGCGATCGAATACAGCATATGTACACTGTAGGGCAAAACATAACAAGACCGCGATAACAAAATGGAGAATACTGGAACTGTAATATCTTGATCAAGTTGACTGCAAAGTTTTGAGGAGGTGTGGATGTTGTTACCACCAGCCTCATCTTGGCCCTGCACTTTCGGGTGGAAACTCTTTCAAGATGTCGCTGATCGTACACGTCCAGAGTGCCCGCGGGTTCCATTCCAAGGGGGAACGGCTTGCTAAAATAACTTTTAGAGGTAAGTTTGTGGTTATTGATTCTTCACTGTCTTCTAATCGTGTTTACCACACATAACTCGCATATAACGACAGGGTGTTACAGCTAAATTTGGAAGGAAGACCTGCTTGATTATAACTGTCCAACTTCAATTATAATCGGATCTTGATAAATGTGAAGTCGATTGTGTTTCGATTTTCGTGATATTGACTTGCCATAGAGATGTTTATCACTGAATTGTGTAGGTTGCATAAGCCTATGTCTTGCAATCTTGGTTCTACCATTTGATTGTAATTCAGGCCTGTATCCATACAGCTGCAAGAATGAGCAAAGTATCTTGAGGTAACTGATCCTCGCCTCATTTTCAAAGAGATTCATTTTCAGGAGAAAATATAGGTCAAAGCTCAGAGAAGCTGTTAACTTGTAAGAGAGATGAGTAAATAAAAACAAAAACAAACTAAACCATTAAACAATTAAACCACGTGTCTACTTTGGTGTCAATTCTTTCTTGGCCACCGCTCTGAGCTTTGGCACGAATATGTAAAAAAATGTCAGACTGTCAACCAATTCAAAACACATTTATTCAAAATTGCTTTCGATGATTAACTTACTCTGTTCACAGTGATGTATATTTCATATGTATTGTAATTTGTAGGTTTATTTGTAATTTAGTTTTGTTTAATATGTAATTATTTATTAGTCTATTTTGTTTGTTATAGAGCTTAGAGACTTCAGTGGAAAGCGCTTTATAAGCACTGTTTTTTAATTTTTATTATTTGGAAACAGATGAGGCCTATATAAAGCAGAGTTCAACTCACAGATTATATTATCAAAAAAAAAGAAAAAAAGAGAAGCTTAGAGTATGAATTTACAAATAGTAAAAAAAAAGATAAAAAAAAGTGAATGGCGTAAATATTCTAAAAAAGAATGAAACGCCGATAATACCAAACATTAACAACAACAACAGAGGCTGTGAGTGAAGGAGAAATATGAGGCAGAGAATGGTGGGAAAGAAGAGAAATAATCGATAGATGAGATGCCAAGAGCTTTGAATAGACAGAGGGGATTAAAGATTTAAAGTAAGCACAAAGTACACTTTTTGAAAGAAAATGATGGGACAAAAATGGGGTATTGGGAAAGGTTTAAAGATGAATGAAAGATGAATTTAAAGTGCTACAATTACTAAAACAGTTGATGGTGATGATGATGGTGAGAGATGGGGGAGGGGGTCCAGATAAAAGGTAGAATGCTGTCCCCTCCTTGGGCATGGCCTATCAATTCTCATAACAATAATCATCCCTAGAGGTGACCATCTGCCTCCTCCTTGTTATTGAATAATCCAGAAATAGACTTATTGCAGTTTAAAGCCCCACTGTTCCACTTGTAGCTACTTGCTCTCTCTATATAGAAAAGTTCCCCAATCGGTGCCTGTTGGTCCCCCGTGATCCTCTTTTTCTTGTTGATACATTGTAGCTGAGTTAATGAGATAGCCACCTGTCAGTGACCTTGCTGTGTGGTCTTATCCCCTCTGGCCCAGTAGTATTGACGGTCTTTAAAAGGAGCAAAGTACAAGAAAATCAAGAAGTGGTATAAGCCTACCAGGATGCCGGATGACAGTGATGAAGAAGGAACACAAAATGTGTGAATTTATGGGTGGTATTATAGAGCAGACAAGATGAGAAAGTAAAATTGGGAAGATATGAAAACTTGCAAACTTAACTTTTTTAAGAAAGAAGAAATTTGTTTTGCCTACTGTATATTGAAGTACAAGTTTGAAGATTCATTAGAAATGTATTGATTTTGAAAGAATAATGTCAGTTGTATTTAAGGAACACACAATGTGTGAATTTATGGGTGGTATTATAGAGTAGATAAGATGAGAAAAGTAAAATTGAGAAAAGTAAAATTGGGAAGATATGAAGACTTGCAAACTTAACTTTTTTAAGAAAGAAGAAAGTTGTTTGGCCTACTGTATATTGCAGTACAAGTTTGAAGTCGATTCATTAGAAATGTATTGATTTTGAAAGAATAATGTCAATTGTATTTCAATAAAGAAGAGTGAATCATAGTGATTGTATACTTCAAGGGTGTTAAAGTTTATCCACAACATCATTATGGAAAATTGGAAATGAGATCACATGAAAATTGAAGGAAACATCAGTTGAGAGTTTAGTTACATGGTGTTACTCAAGTTCCATAAATCATAAACACACTGTTTTTACACAAAAGTGTTCTTAACATTATCATAATTTGCTCGCAAAATATATATGACAAAATATTGTTTACACCATCACTGTACACTGTAGCTCTCTGGAACCCTACCATATGGTTAGGCAAGTGGAAATTAATAAATAGTTGTTTGGAGCAGTTGAGTCCATTTAGAACTTTCACTACTGTACTTTATTAAGTATCCTAACTGATTATACACAGTCTTCCATACGGTCCTGTGTTTATATGGTTTGACCATCTCTATTGTGCCAGAGAAAATCAATATCCATTCTTTCTCGAATGGTGCAGTTATCAGGTCCGCCCTTACTCTTTGTCTAATTTAGCATGAATAGGAACACAATGACACTGTATTTCCATTTCCATTTCCATACTATATGTCTGTTCTGTTAATTAAGCTAGCTGTGTTATTATTATATTTTAATTATGATATTGGTGGCTGCAGGTATGACAATGTTTTGAAGTCTGCAAACTTGTCATATATCATTAACACAGGAACATTCTAGATTATAGTTATAGAAAACTGTGTGTTTGCTAAAAGAATTCGGACAGATGTACATGTGCATACACAGTACATGTATGGTGAAACATGTAGCAATTGCAATGGAACTATTGTTATTTGAAACATAACTGTGAAGGTACATGTACATGTACACCTACATGTATGTTGGATCTTTTTATTGTATCATTATTTTATAATTATTTTTAAAGGGCTTGGATCAAATTTAATTAGGCTGTGTTTATTATTCACATACCGAAAATGAGACAGAATTCAAGTAACACTTTTGATTTTTAAGGTTTTCTTTAACATTAACCATCATGTTTAATAGCTGTAGGCGAAATACCAGAAATTTGATAGCAATTTTTTTTTGGTGCTGTTGACTTTTGTTCGATTTCCCTGTAACTTTAGACAGGTTACAAATATTGTCTTGTTTAACTAATAGATCATTGGCTGTAGGCAGGAAGGTTGTCACTTCCATTGACAATGCATACTGTAGCTCGTATTGCCTTTTTGTGGACAGAGGATAAGATGTGGGGGGGGGGGGAGCCAAATGAGTGTAATTAACTTTTAAAGGGAATGTTTAAATATTTGATATATACAGTAGATCTAGGTTTTCAGGCATGATTTAGATCTACATGTACTATACATGTAGAGCAAACTCTACTTAAGTTCCCCAAACCATTACAGGCATAATTTTAATCTTCCAGTTTTATGTAAATCACTTTAAACAAAATTTGGCTAAGGGCTATACATATGTACATTTATATACATGTAACTGTTGTGTATTATTATATTATTTTTTCATCACATTGTTATCCAGTAATAAATCTCTTGTTAATTTTGTATTCTGGTAATTCAGTTTAATAGGAAACTCCATCTTTCTAAAGGATGGAGCCCTTTTGTAACATGCATTTTTGCCATTCTCTGTACACTTTCAAGTCATGGAATAAAAAAAATTATATTTTGTTGTTATTCTCTGATGACTAAAATGTATTTAAAATATATTGGATGATTTGATAGGGCATCAAATATCTTAAGATGCATCAACACATTAACGTTGAGACTGTTAGTGCATACCAAGTCTTCAACAAAGAGAATTGGTACTGATGGTGGCACTAGATTCAAGAACAAACCTTTCTGGGTTTTTTTTCTTCAAATTTATCCCTGAAGACTGTTTGCAAAAGGAAGGTCTGTTGTTGTGCAAATATTTCCTGAAAATGTCAAAACTGTTCACCTTTTGATATTCCTTGCACTGGTATTGTCTAGCCAAAGATTTACAATACCATAGATTTATTTGAGTTGTGCGAGAATATGCTCAAACAATATCTCCTGTACATACATGATGTATCTCTACAGTATGTATATTTGTGCATTTACAAGTTGTCAAACAAATTATTTGAATTGATCTCCAAGGAAATGTCAACTGATACTTGATAACTTTGTGTTTTTCCATTTCTTGATATCCAATGAACAAATGTTTACTTTGTGAATGATCATTCTTAAAGGCTCCCTTGCTTTGCCTTAGCACCATGAATGTTGTCTAATGTTGACAACCCAGTTATTGGGAGATGTAACAGTATCTATTCTTTGTATTTCTTTCTTTTCTTTTAGGTGTAAGCCAAATGACACAAACCTATGAAAATATCGCAGATGAGGTGGTTTGGGATGAGGTTAGTTTGTCAAAAAAATTGTCCCAGTTCTATATCAATCTCTTTCATCATTTGTCTCCCCCCCCCCCCCTTTCTCTCTCCCTCTCTTTCTCTCTGTGTCTCTCACTCTTTCACTTTTTATTTCCTTCCTGTTTTTGTAATTATAGTTCTTTTACTTTATCTTCATATCTATTCCTTTTAACTCTGTAAACCTCTCTCTTTCTCTCTCTCTCCCTCTCTCTCTCCCTCTTTCTCTCTCTCTCTCTCTCTCTCTCTCTCTCTCTCTCCTCTCTCCCTCTCTCTCTCTCTCCTCTCTCCCTCTCTCTCTCTCCCCCTCTCCCTCTCTCTCCCCCTCTCCCTCAATATCAATATCAATATCAATATCCATCTATACATGTATATATCGCTCTCTCTCTCTTACTGCTTATTATCTCTCAATCTGTAATGTTAAAGCCCAGTCTGTTTCATAAAACTTGATATCAATAACAAGTTACAAGCTACTGTTATAAGCTACTGAAATCATGGCATCTAATTGGCTGAGAGCAAACTTGATATCAATAACAAGTTACAAGCTACTGTTATAAGCTACTGAAATCATGGCATCTAATTGGCTGAGAGCAAACTTGATATCAATAACAAGTTACAAGCTACTGTTATAAGCTACTGAAATCATGGCATCTAATTGGCTGAGAGCAAACTTGATATCAATAACAAGTTACAAGCTACTGTTATAAGCTACTGAAATCATGGCATCTGATTGGCTGAGAACAAATTTGTCATAGAAATTTAGCAGTTGTTATACATGTAGATAACAAGTTTTATGAAACGGGCCCCTGATCTTTCCTTCTTGACAAGTCTCTTACATGTTATTCTTTCTGGTCAGAAGTTTCTCAGCTGGATATTTTTTTTTTTTAATTCACTACACAATTTAAATTCTGTCAGTACAAATGTTTGTAATGATGCTAGGTACATATTCTAGTGTACATGTAGACAAGAACTGCATTAATGATTTAAATGAGTTGTTGGGATACTTTTATGACAGCCCTGTGATTGTTTTCTTTACTTAGCAATTTGAATGGGCCATGGGGAGCGGTATTGTAGCAGATGAGATGCTGGAAATTACAGTCGTCAGCTTCAACAAATACCTTTCCAACAAGTAAGTTTCTGTTCAAATCTACCTGTTTCCTTCTCTTTTACTTTCTAACCATCCTCATCTCTTTTTTGGTCTGAAATTGTTTTAAAGGCCCACTGCACTACTTGTAGCTACTTGCGCCCTCTATGTAACAAACAATGCCTAATCGGTGACCATTGGTCCCCCATGATCCTCTTTTTCTTATGTTAACTGAGAGCTGAGTTGATGAGATAACCACCTGTCCAGTGACCTTGCAGGGCAGTCTAATCCCTCCTGTAAACTACGGCAGATAAGCTTTAAAACTCAGTATCACACACTTTCTCCATCTCACCCTGCCTCTCTTTCTCTCTCTCTGTGATTCCCTCTGCACATGTGATTATAAATCCCCTCCAAAAAAATGGAGCTTGGTGATTTTCATGAATCTTAGAGGACAGATCAAATTCAGTTTGCACAGGATAAAGATTAGCTTCTGCACCAACCACGTTTTAGACTACTTTGAGCTGTAGGCCTAAGTGGAGAGCGACACATCAGAGAGAGAGAGAGGAAAAAAGGCCCACATTTATTTGATTAAATGAGGTGCTTGCTCTTTATGATGTTATTGATGACCCGTTTTGTTTCATCAGATTAGAACGACTTGCATGAAAAATTCACTATTTTTTAAAGGACCCTTAATATGGAATAGTATACCTCAGGAAATTAAAAAATGCAAAACTCAAATCTTTTCAGTATTAATAGCATGGGCAAGTTTGACACTTTTTTTTACTCTGATTATACATGATAGTATGTTTTAGTTTGTTTTTTGTTGTGTTCTTTTGTTCTTGTTTTCCTGTATGTGTGTTTTTAGGGGAGGCTTTCATATAAGGAATCCCTCCTTTCTGCCTATCCCAAATGCTCTTATCAATTCCTGTTGTAATTTGTTATCACTTTCTTGTTGTTTTGTTATTCAATTCTGTATTTGTATGTTTTAAATGTTTTTATGAAGAGTGTTGGATAAACTTTGAATTGAATTTGAATTGAATCTCTTGGGTTGTCAGGTCGATAGGGTCATTCAGGATGGTGCTACAGGAGGTGATGGAGAGAGGGTCAGTGAAGATTGGAGAACCCCTCCTGGACAGTAACAACAGAGGCATGCATGTGAGTAGTCCACATTCTCTACCTTTTTTTAATATATTTTTTTTTAATTATTGGGACCCTACAAAAACAAGCTATGCTTTCCAGTAGGTTCCTGTTTCATTTCATAATTTTGAACTTACTTTGTTAACTATGTTCTTTATTATGCAAACAATTGTTATATGAAATGAAATAAAATTAATCAATCAATCAATCAATCAGTCTACATCATCCTCCCTTACACACATACCACACAGATCGCACAACCCCCGAAAATGCAAGGGTAAGAATGAAAGGCAAGCACTGTCTTCGGTTTAGCGTTGAGGGTGTGGTAATTTCATAATGTACTACACCCCCCTGTACATGTAAGTAAGGTCCATGATGTAGTCAACCTTAATCACATAACCTGCCCCAATTGCTTTCATTGCAGGCACAATATAACCACATAACAATGCCAGTACTCAACTTTATCTTTAAGAATCTGAATGTACTTTGAAATCAGACAAAAGATTAAGGCTGTATTGTAGTACTTCAGTGAAAGAGTTTGATTGAATCAAGAGCATTCAAGCATCAGTACATACATCCATGTAGTCTCAGTGCACACAGTAATTGCATGCACTCAAGCATGTAAAATGCAATGTGTCTTCTTTGATAGGTTATAAGTGTTGTAAGAAGAAGTTATAGTAACTCCAGTAACTCAAGGGCTGGCAAGAAATCAAACCTTGCTTAAATCACTGATTTTTAGTCATGATTTTTTTTTAGATATATGTAATTTGAATAACTTTCTTTCCATTAGTAGTTCTTTCAATTGTCCCCACAGTTATAAGCTTAATATTTTGTAAAAATTTCTTTAGATATTTATTGAATTTTTCTCTTAAAAAATTGCATGAGATTAATATGCTGTATAGTGTATACGTTTTCTATTTGATTTGATTAACCGATTTTATTTTTTACTTTGTAAAGCGCAAAGAGAAACTTCTGTTTATTATGTGCTCAATAAATCTATCTTTATTATTATTATTATATAAATGGGAGCCAAGTGGATCATGTATTAAGCCTTAATTGAGAGAATTCAGTAGTTGATGTATTGAAATAATCTCAAATATTCTTTAGCCTGCGATAGTTGGTTTATACATTTGCAAACCATGTCAAATCAAACTGAAGAAAAAGAATTCAAACTATGCATGTATGCTGTTTATCCAAACAGGTTGCCATCTTCTTTGAGGTGTTCTACCAGGCGCCGGACGGCACTGTGGGAGATTGGCAGCAGGAGACCTTCACGGCCCCTCCTCCTTCCCATCATGCATCAGATAACTTGGGTTTCATGGGACAGGAGATGGACTTCGATGAAGACGGGTCTCGGTCCGTCTACTCAGAGAGCTTCCAGCTCATGAAGAAAGGGGCGCACCATGGGTCCTCACAGAGTCTGAGCTCTAACAAGAGGTTTGTAAACTACTAATCCTTGGTGACCAGTGACATGGCATGAGTCCACCAGTAGAGGGGGCACTAGTCGTACTCAGAAATTTGAATTTAAAGGGAGAGAGTCATCAGCTTCTATGTGCAGAAGGTCATAATTCGCTGACACCAGACTTTTGTTTACTCAACACCCCCCCCCCCCCCTTGAGCAAAAAAAAAAGTTAAAATTGTGGTTACCATCTTTAAAAAAACTTTTTGTAGAGCCAGGGGTGGGACCCCAGACCCAAAAGCCACCCCCCCCCCCCCCGATCCACCATTGTCTATAAATACAAGTGCTATTTCCCCCCCCCCCCCCCAAAAAAAAAGAGTTTTAAAAAGCTAGAAAGTATGAACGTGTCCGACATCCATTAATATAATCATTGTAATTAGATTGCACAGAAAAATATAAATCGCCCAACTTTACCTTTTCTCCTCTAATATATATATATATATATATATATATATGTATATAATATATGCTGTAAATGTATATATTTAGGATTGATATATTTCTGATTCTCCTTCATTTCCTTAGTTCAAAGAGCATGCTTGGCAAGATGAAACTGAAGAAAAAGAAGAAGAAAGATGAATACGTAGCAGATGTTGGTATAGAGAGGATTGGCAGTAAGTATACAGGGCAAGGCTTTCTTACACTCTAATTAAGATGCATGTGTGGGATTATATTCAGGAAGGAAAACAAATGTAGCCCAAGAAGGAAAAAAGTTATCAATTTGTAGTCAAAAATGATTGTTCAGTGCCGACATGTATTCTTGAGCAGGTTTGTTACTTCACATAGTTCAAAGAAGTTATGGGAGAAACTAAAATTTTCTTGAAGATTGAAACAATGAAATGGATCGTTCATACACACTGAAAATTGAGTATTACAGCATTTATTTAAATAGGGATGTTTGGAGCAATGATATTTTTTAATGCAAATGTATTGCATCCCTTTTCTTGTACGAGTTAATGGAACAATTGATATGGTTGGTGTTCATCTGATAGACTTCAATTGTATTTTCTGGGAAAGCATGCAAGTTTGTTTTAAGTTTTACAAGAATTTATGATTTAGCTTGGGATTGAGATTATAGCTTCTTCATGGTGTTTGTGGGGGGTTCAATGTTCTTAGTTTTATTAATACATTGCAGGTTGATGATGTAATGTTTATTGCTTTATAACAGTCTACTTGGATTGATGTGTGTCTTGGGCTTTTATTTTTTCCTGTGCATTCATGTCAGGATATGCCTTGTAGAATTTATCTGTGTTGTTACTGAGTGGCCTTCCAACCTAGGCCTTAATTGATGGAGATATTAAGTCTTGCATGTCTCTCTTTGAATATTGTGACATGCTAATTAAATTGTAATACAATCATAAAATGTATTCTAACAGTTCGCAAGTTATGTAATTTTACTTCACTTCATTGTAACACTTCCATTCCATGCATACTTCTTTGCCCACTTACTGCCTTAGCCGTTATGCATCCACATGTATTGACATTTGGGGGCTTTTGAGCTCCTAGTTATTCATTCCATCCTAATTCGCTTTGATGTTATACTGGTACTGTAGTTCACTGATGCCCTTTTCTCGTCCAAAATGTACCTTTTCCCCTAACTATTAGTACCTAATTCTACACATGAGCCAACAGAGTCTTTTATTTGAATGTTTTGAATATCCCCTCTGTCTGTCACAGAAAAACATAACAAATCTATTGCACCTCAGGGCTCTTTTGCATTTACAGGTGTACTGCAGTCATGCATAGATGTTATAGTTAACTAAATCACTCTTTTCTATTGTATGTGCCTCCCATTAGTAAGCACTTCACATGAAAATATTTGCTCCTCATTGTGGGGCTCTTCTGCTCGTAATGAATCTATACATGTACCTTACTTGTAATAGTTCACTCATTCTATTCAGTTCCATGTTCTTCTGCTAACCACACCAACCATGTCCTACTTTAGAAGTATAGTTCACTCATTTATTCTTTCTATTCCTTGTACCTCTCTCTATACTAACCTCCTCATACTATCTATTGCCATTAGGAACTCTTTTGCACATATTGGCCCGAATTCACAAAGGAGGTTTGTCGACAAACCTCCTTTTGTTTCGTCAAACCTCCTTTTGTTCTTTACAAACCAGGTTTGTAAAAAACGCATAAAAACGCGTCATATGACGTACAAAAACCGAGGTTTGTCGACAAACCTCTTTTGTGAATTTGGGCCATTGAATCCATGCTTTACTAGCAAGCAAGCTTTCAGGAAATATCAGAAAATAAATGCTCTTGTTTGTTTTTAAATAGGGGCAAATGAAAGCAAGCTAAATGAGAAATCTGTTTGCTACACCACCATCTGATGATTTTGAAAATTCTATTCCATGCACGTTTTTCTAAGAACGACATCACTGTAGGTGTTATAGGTGACCACATGTACATGTACAGTACTTGTAATTCACTCAATGCATTCTAAACACCTTTCTTTTCTCGCCATCAAATCCCATGCATTTGAAGATCTTATGCTTATATTAAATCCATTCTTTTACTTTAGTAGTTAACTAATTCTGTTCCGTCCCATGCATATAGTTCTACTAACCACACTTACCATGCCTTAACTTAGATGTTATAGTAACACTAACTCACTCATTCTATTCTATGCATAGTTGTCTATACTAGTTACGTCATTTCAGAATAACATCTACATCTACATGTATTCCCCTTTGGGGCTCTTTTGCACTTATTGAATTCCTTCTCTACTTCAATGTTATAGTTACGATTCCACTCACTCATTCTATTTTATTCCATGCTTATTAATATTTTTCTTCATGTATTTTTCTACTTACCACACAAACCATGCATTACATACATGTACATGTTATACATGTAGTTAACTAATTCACTCGTTCTATGCACCTCTCTCTACTAACATCCTCATACTAACATCTATTGCCCTGCGGGGCTCTTTTGCACGTATTGAATCCATGCTTTACTTGGACACAGAGGAGGCACCGCTCCTGGAGATCGATGAGATGGACGTCAGCGTGATGGGGGATGAAAGCGACGTTGAAGAGGACCCTGGGATCCCTCCGTATAAGAAGATGGGGCCTATTGGCAGTGAGAATCCGGCACAGAAGTTTCAAGATTTCCAGGTTGGCTAGATCTCATTTCATTAAAACTTTTTGTCAATGATAATAATGAATAAGATTTTGGTGCCAAACCCACTTGAAGTCAGACCCTCAAAGCAAACTAGTGCAAAGGATAAAATCACATGAAACCATCTGCAGTATACTCAAAAGAACAACTGGGATATCGGCATACAAAAACTGTAAAAAAGAACAATGAATTATATGCCAAATCAAACATACGGTACACATTTTTAGATATTTGTTTAATACTTCAAGTGATCTGCTATCACAATTCTCTTGAGGGAGAGCATTCTTTCTCCTCACTTAGCACTGAGCTTAGGAAGAACAAGAAATCCATATGTTTGAGAGTGTGAAGAAAAAAAAAAAATCGTTTTTGAGAGTGGAAAGAACTAGATTGAATGTACCAGTAATGATTTGTAATGTTGTACTGTGGAGCAGAGCCATGGACACGATGAGATAATACCAAAAGAATAAAAGAAAAGGGTTTAAAGAGATATTGTCCGCTTCTTTCTGATATGAATCTTGTTGGAAATGTTAATTAATCTAAAATGTAGAGAAATACATTCTAAATGGAAATGGGGATGGTAAGTGCATTCCTCTTGAGCTGAATTTATTCAATTTTAAGGTTTCAAAAAAAAATTGCCTTTCACAATTCATAAGGTCCATTCATTCTATCATGCATGCTCCTCCTGGCCAACGTTAACTCTCATTTTTCACACGTCCCCTATTTTCTTTTGAGCCACTCTGTACATGTTTTGCTGTATATTAATCAATAGACAGGCACTTCAGCCGAGGCTGACAACAATAGCTCATTGTGTAACAGATGTTTATTCTAAAGTGTTCCAGTTTCGCAGACTCTGTGCTGGAAGAATTGCGCAATGTCAATTAAATTTTTGATGTTTATGGTGCTTGTGGAATGAATATGCAATTTAGGATAAATGTAGTATTGAAGTTATTTGCATTCTAAAGTTTATTAAAAAATGATTTACCGGTATTGCTAAGTACAACAAACCCCAGAAATGCAATGGATGCTCTAGAGAGAAAATAGTAATAATTCAATTCAAGATGAATTATTATCAAACAAATATACTTTTTAACTATAATTCATGTTGAAGCAATCATACAGAACATTTGTATGTATATTTTACAGAGATATTAGGTTTTTTTTTTGGTATTATTTATCTTGTTGAAATCAGCGTTACTTTGCATCAAACTTCACGTTTCAAGAGTCATTTTAGATTTATAGAGAAAAGAGGTGCCTTTTAATCTAGTATATCTGTATTCATTAGCCGATTGACGACTGAATTTGCACAATCCCATAGGCATAGTTTTACAGGTAACATCTGGTTCCCAGACACAATGTGTTAGCTTGCCAAAACTTGTAATGAACAAGTAGCCTGTGTTACAAGGCTCAAAATACACAGGGGCATAATCCCCTCCGTCAGATCGGTCACGGGGGCGAATGCAAAATTAAAAATCGCCCCCGTGGAATTATAAAATAAAGATTATCTTTTCTGTTTTAACTTTCACACAATATTGAGTTTCAACTTTCAAAACTTAAACCAATGAAATGGAAGTCAGATTAACGTGCAGCATTTCTCGCTCAAATTTTTCAGTGTCTAGAGGTCGCCATACTGTAAACAAATGTACACAATATTACCAATACAAACCGTGAAAGCCTGCAGTGCAGTGCGTCCATCAGCAATTAAATACTACATGTAGCTGCGCCGGTAGTACCGGTGTGCAGGCTGCATGCCGCCCCATATCAGCTGGCGCAGATAGGCTCACAGGGGCTCTTTTATTTTTGAAGAGCCCCCGTGGACAAAAAATTAATTTGAGCCCTGCTGTGTTATAAGTGTGCTTTTCAGAAAATTATGTTTGTGTGAGAAGTGACAAAGTTAATGTCAAAGCAGGAATGTTATTGTTCAAGGAAATGTAGCAAGTTTACTTGAAAGATGACAGTAAAGTGAAATCCGGTTAACTGCTAAAAATTATTCATAAAATTACCAAGTTTTGTAATTTTTAAGTTTGTGACAAGTTGATTTGTCCTGATTTACATTTCGTATGAATGTGATAAATTGAAGCTTACATCTAAAATATTCATCAAAGGCCCTTATTCAAGCATTGTTGAGTTACAAAACACACAAAATAAAAATAAAATTTACAAGGGTTTTGAATAATTTAGTTGTTAACTGTATTTAAAAATAAGGCTCTGAAAAGGTTAGGAACGATGTTAATCATTTTGATCTTTCGGTCATCTTGACCTCAGGTATCCATCACCGTACATGAAGCCAGGCAATTAGCAGGACTGGACATTGACCCGGTCATCTGTGTTGAGGTTGGAGACAAGAAGAAATACACCAGCGAGAAGAAATCTACCAACTGCCCCTTCTACAATGAGGTGAGTATCGTTCACTCTTGACAACCAAGGCAGGGTTTCACAAACCTGTAATAAGTACAAGTTCACTGACATCCCATTGAAATGCATTTATTAAGATTAACATGTTTGTTTTAATTGGGATGTCGGTGAACTTGTACTTATGACTGTTCGTGAAACGTTGCCGAGCTCTTCTCAATTTGCTCTCTACAGAAAATGTTATGAACTTTCATTTTCTTGTTATTGATGACTGAATAGATTTGTTTCATACAAGGCAAATGGGGTGAGTATCATTTACTGTCGTCATCCATCTGAAAGCAACAAATTGAGTTGGGTTTCACAAAAATCTCAGCATTATATTCGAGAAATAATATAAGAAGCATCTTGCTTGTTGTATTAATCATGACTTTACAAAGTGTGAAGTCTCCCATTTAAAAGCCCCTTCTACAATGAGAGTCATTTGCTGTGTCCATCCGTCTAAAAAACATACATGCTACACATGTTGGGTGTCAGAAAATGTCAACAATATGTTAATAAAAAATCATCATAGTCCTGTTTATTACAGTGTATGTGCTGTACTGTGACATCATTTGGAATAGTGGGATGAATGGGTATATGGTGGTTTTGACTTCATGGTGGATCTTTCCAAGAAGGCTCTGCCTACCCAACCAAACTCCACACTTTAAAACCTGTGAATAGTGACAAAAACAGTTCAATGCTAATGAAGCATTTGAAATGAATTATACTGACTATTGTTTTACCTGACTACTAGAATAGCATGTATATGCTTGTAAGTAAACAGTCAAGGAGCCAACGGCTTTAAGTCCTCTAGCTCCGAGAGACTAGGTAATGAGGATTAATGCCTTACCAAGGGGCATGGGCGTATTGAATTGCTTTTGTACCTGGGATCTCCCGGTTACGAGACCACTGAGCCAGAAAACTTATTGGAATATCAACATTTCTGTGTGTTTTTTTCCATTTGACAGATGTTTGTGTTTGACTACCATGAACCACCAGGGATCATGTTTGACAAGATCGTCAAAATCACAGTAAGTTATTCATTATCTACTTCAATCTTTTCCACTTAAATGCTTTTAAAAAAAGTTCATACATATTATATAGTACATGTATATTATTGCTCGGAATTAACACTTACCATTGGTGCTTGTGCAAATGTCTCTTTTGTTTTTATGCGAGCAATAATCTAAATCAAATCACAAGAAATCAAAATCAGGACAAGTAGTAGGTTGATGTCTGAGCCTGCATTTGCATGAGATTAAAACAGACAAGCGCCAACATTGTAAGTATTAGTTCCATGCCATTTCAGTTGTTATGACTATTAACATTGTTTTTCTAAGCATAAAAGATAGCGTTGTTTTCAGAATATAGCCCCTGTTTCATTTCGAAACGAATCATGGCTTTAAGAATGGTACAGTGAAACCTGTCTATAAAGACCACCCAAGGGAGACAAGAAAAGTGGTCTTTATAGGCAGAAGGTCTTTATGTACAGGTGCCTATAGTACATGTTTCAATAAGAAACCATTTTGAAGGGAGAAAACAAATGTGGTCTTTGTAGACAGGTGGTCACTAAAGCATGTTGAATGTATATTTATGATTTCATGTACTCTCTCTTCTTTACCCAGGCTCTACATTCCAGAAATGTCTTGCGGTCTGGGACGGTGATTGGATACTTTAAGTTTGACGTAGGCACACTATACCAGGCACCAGGTATATATGACGGTCAAGTTCACCTTGTTCATTGAAGATGCTTTTTGGGAAACTCCCTTTCAAGCCTTTTTTCAATGACAAATGACAAAAATCAGTGACAAATCTGCTGATAACCAATCAGAAGCAAGGATTTTCACTAGCTTATAACAAAAAATGTCATTTGTCATTGATGTCAAGTTTTGTGAAATGATGTTTAAATGTGAATTTTCCCTCTCAGCTTACATTTTCTCACTCCCCCAATCTATTTCTCTCTCTCTATCTCTCTCTCTATCTATCTATCTATCTCTCTCCCTCCTTAATTACCCACTCTCCTCTCTTTTCCTCTCTTTCCCTCTCTTTCACACTCTCTCTCTCCCTCTCACCTCACTGTCTGCCACTCACTTCTTCTCACCCCTCCTTCTCCCTTCTCCACCTCTCTTCCTCTCCTTCTCCCTCTTACTCACACTCTCCCAACGCCCTCCCCATACCACTTCATTCTTATCTATCTGTAATTCATTCCTCAACTTGTGCCTCCATTGTGCCTCCATGCAGACCACGCGTTCAACAACAAGTGGGCCATACTGACTGACCCGAACGACGTCAATGGAGGTCCCAAGGGGTACGTCAAATGTGACATCTTGGTCATGGGTAAGGGTGACTCGGTCAAGCCTCCCAAGAAGACCAAAGACGACGGTGAAAATATTGAAGGGTAAGATGATTTCCTCGTCTTAATCTTCTCATTAACATCTTTCTCATGTTGGTTGATTTTCTTAACAAGCAACACACTGCTTTAGTCAGTTTTTGTCACAAGTACTTGACAGAACACGGATTCAGTTTATGGCAAGCAAGTTAGGAGATTATATTCTTGTTATAATTATAATCTTGCCTTATTCACAAATATTATTCTGTTCTTCTTGAGGGTCCTGCTATTATAATTGTTGAAATTTCATAAGTGTGAATAAAGAGAAGGAAAGCAAAAAGAAACCTTCATATTAATCGCTTGAGATAGACCTTATTTTACCAAAAGTGTTGAATAAACCAATAAGGGAGAGGCTTTTCATATATATTTTCCTATATCTATATTTTGTTAGTAGGAGGGAAGTGTGTGCCTGAAAAGAGAATAACAATTAAAAGAATATAAGAAATGAAGAGATATATGCCTTTATCACTTCAATATATGTGTGCTGTTAAGTTGCACATTGGCAGCACTGTTCATGATTAATGTGGAGACAACATATCTATCAGTAATAATGAATTATACAAAAAATCATGTAATTGGACCATCTTTTGTAGGAACTACCTCCTCCCCGAGGGTATCCCAACGATCAGACCGAGAGCCACATTCAATGTGCGTGTCTACAGGGCTGAGGGTCTACCTATCATGAACTCTGGTCTACTAGCCAACGTCAAGAAAGCTATCACTGGAGAGCTCAATGATCTAGTCGATCCCTTCGTTGAAGTCACATTTGCAGGGCAAACGGTAATCCTTATTGCTGTTACAGTATTAAATCTCTCTTTCTCACTTTTTTTGTTTTTCTTTTTTTTTAATATAAATTTCTCTTTCTCTTTCTCTTGCCCTCCATTTCTCTGTCTTCCTCTCACTCTCACTATCTCTTTCTCTCACTCTTCCTATATCTTTCTCTCACTCTCCCTTTCTTTTTTCTCTCACTATCCCTCTATCTTTCTCTCACTCTCTCTTTATCTTTCTCTCGCTCTCCTTTTATCTTTCTCTCACTTTCCCTTTCTGTCTTTCTCTCACTCTCCCTCTATCTTTCTCTCACTCTCCCTTTCTCTTTCTCTCACTCTCCTTTTCTTTCTTTCACTTCCCCTTTCTGTCCTCATCTCACTCTCCCTATCTCTTTCACTCACCCTCCCTTTATCTTTCCCTCACTCTCCTTTTCTCTTTCTCTCACTTCCCCTTTCTGTCCTATCACTCTCCCTATCTCTTTCTCTCACTCTTCCTTTTTCCCCTCTCCCTGTCTCTTTCTCTCACTATTCCTCTCTCTTTCTCTCCCTTTCTCTCTCTCTCCCTTTCTCTTTCTCTCACTCTTCCTTTCTCTCTCTCTCTCTCTCTCTCTCTCTCTCTCTCTCTCTCTCACTAATGTACCTCCCTATGTTTCTCAGGGGGAAGGGAGTATGACTCCTCTGCCCCAGCCCATGAATCACTGTCAAACCAGAAACTTCAGTGCACATGAAATCTTTGCAATTTTTGTCAGTTGCTCAGATTTGCACAAGTTTCATGCTGAGAAATAAATGAATGACAAGTGACCCAACAATGAATTTCTGCAATTTGCAAAGATTTCTTGCCTTGGAAATCCCTTTCATTTACAAACTGTGATAGTATCCTTTTGCGCAAGCTTCTTGTTTGCAGTGAGCTAACTTTTATAATGATAACACTTGTTATATCGAACGATAGCAGATTGTCAAGCATTTCATTATAACATTCCTATTTTCATGATGCGTTCCTGTAGGGCAAGACATCGGTGAAGAAGCACCGGTATGATCCCAACTGGAATGAACAGATCTGCTTCAGTGAGATGTTTCCCCCGCTGTGTAGGCGCATGAAGATCGTTCTCAAGGATAAAGACAGCATGATCGACGACACGATCGGAACCCACTTCATCGACCTTGCCAAGATATCGAGTGAAAATGATGAAGGTACAGCATAATATGGATTAGAGTAGGGCACTATTAATTGTTTATGAATCTATTGGTGTTAAAACAAAGAAGGAGAAGAACAAGAAGGAGGAGGAGGAGAAGAAGAAGAGGAAGGTGAAGAAGAAAGAGGAGGAGACTTATTTGTGTATATTAATATTGATATTATACCTCCAATGTGGGGTATAGTTCAAAGGAACAAAATAATTTTGAAGAGCTTAAAATGCTTGGTTACTTAGCCCCATTGAATGTGTAGGATTTGTTCAATTTCTGTTCCTGTATACAGGGTAAAGGGCATTATGCACTATGCCTAACCCTTAACCTCACCCTATTCCTGACGCTTAAACCTGACCAAAACCAAATGCCATACATAGCCCTAACCTGATATCTTTGGTGATATAAGTCCTAGAGCAAATGGCAGGTCACCAATCAATGTGTGTAGAGTTTGGAGAGAAGAGCGATTCGAATAGTTCTATTGGTCCCTACTAACCATATGATAGATTATACCACTGTGTAATCCTCATACTGTTGCTCAACCTGCCTATTTTCTAGGGTTCTTGCCAACATTTGGACCCAGTTGGATCAACCTGTATGGCTCCACCAGAGACTACAATGCGGTGGACTCCAATCGCAAGCTGAACAAGGGTGTCGGGGAGGGCTGCATGTACAGAGGACGACTCCTGATAGCCATCAAGACAGAGGTCCAGGATAGTACCCTAGAGTCAGGCGCGGTCAGGGTGGATACAGAACCCTGTCTACCAATCTCAGAGGTGAGAAAGATGTGCAAAGTGGGGTGGGGTTGGGGAGGGCTGCATGTACAGGGGACGACTCCTGGTAGCATTCAAGACGAAGGTCCAGGATAGTACCCTAGAGTCGGGCGGGGTCAGGGTGGATACAGAACCCTGTCTACCGATCTCAGAGGTGAGGAAGATGTGAGGTGGGGTTGGGTTGGAGAGGGCTGCATGTACAGGGGACGACTCCTGGTAGCCATCAAGACAGAGGTCCAGGATAGCACCCTAGAGTCGGGCGGAGTCAGGGTGGATACAGAACCCTGTCTACCAATATCAGAGGTGAGGATGATGTGAGGTGGGGTGGGGTTGGGGAGGGGTGCATGTACAGGGGACGACTCCTGGTAGCCATCAAGACGGAGGTCCCGGATAGTACCCTAGAGTCGGGCAAGGTCAGGGTGGATACAGAACCCTGTCTACCAATCTCAGAGGTGAGAAGGATGTGACGTTGGGTGGGGTTGGGGAGGGGTGCATATACAGGGGACGACTCCTGGTAGCCATCAAGACAGAGGTCCAGGATAGCACCCTAGAGTCGGGCGGGGTCAGGGTGGATACAGAACCCTGTCTACCAATATCAGAGGTGAGGATGATGTGAGGTGGGGAGGGCTGCATGTACAGGGGACGACTCCTGGTAGCCATCAAGACAGAGGTCCAGGATAGCACCCTAGAGTTGGGCGGGGTCAGGGTGGATACAGAACCCTGTCTACCAATCTCAGAGGTGAGGAGGATGCGAGGTGGCGCTAATGATGATGGTGATGAGGATGATGATGATGGTAATGATGGTGGTGATGTTGATGAGGATGATGAGGACGATAATAATGGTAAGGATGATCTTTTGGTATAGAGAAATCTTTCAATCTCAGAGGTGAGGATGATGCGAGGTGGGGTTGATGATGATGGTGGTGATGAGGAGGATCATAAAAGTGATGGTGATCTGGGGGGTATTTCACAAAGATCCTAGGTTTAACTTATCCCTTAGTTGGACTAAAAATGTATGGAAAGCCGTTGTCATCTATGACAATATTCTGTACAAGTTACCGTAAATCTCCGTGTATAAGGCGCACCCCTATTTTTTTTTGCCGACACCAACTGAATCGGCTCTTTTCAGCATGCGGTCCCGTTCGGAAACCAAAGCCATGATGCAGGGAATTGCGAAGGACTTTTTATTTATTACGACTTTACAGTCAAAAAGTCAAAGTAAAAAAGAATAGTAACAATGTTGTTTTTAAACTAAAGATGACAGAAAAATTTTCCTCCCGAGGAATGATACTGCATGATACAGGTGAGTGAGCTGGAGACACGGGAGAGCTTAGGCCGGCAAAGTGCTTTGTGAAGGGGTATAATTTATCGAGACTGAAAAAGAAAAAAAGAAAAAACTCTCTTCCCTTCAAATTAGGAACGTAGTTTAACTTCAAATAGTAGATCCTATTCTTTATTTGCATTATGTAATTCATGTTGAGACACAGAGATTTTTGGAAACCACTAAAAAGTAGCATTTTGAGAACTCAAAATATCCTGTACCTGTGTATTAGGCCCACCCCAGACTTTCGATTTTTCCCGACGGAAAAAAAGTGCGCCTTATACCTGGAGATTTACGGTATTTTAAAAGGCATAAAATGTTGATTCATATTTTCTATTATCGAGGAGATTTCATGTTCTTGATATGGATTTAATAAAAAGTCTAAAATACTGGAATTTTTGCTTTTGGATATTTTTTTTTAAAGGCTACAAATGGCTCTCCATAAACTTTAAGTCCAACTTTAGAGTTTATTTCAACTATTTGAAACATCCCCCTGTTGGTATAGAGAAATCTTTCAATATTGAGGTACATGTAAAGCACAAGGATGATCGTCATCCTGGCGGCATTATGTTTTTGGTGATGTTGTTCATCTTTGTGCCAAGAGCTAGAGATCACTATTTCTCCACAATAATGATAATAATAATAACAATGTATTTATTAGCGCATTTTCCATACATGTTCAAGTGCGCCTTACCATAATGTCATTAACAGAAGAGGTGAGTTTTTAGATATTTTTTTAACGTGTTGAGAGATTGTTGGTTGCGAAGTCATCTGGGTAAATTATTCCACAGTTTGGGAGCAGCAGTTGTGAATGCTTTGTTACCGAGTGTGGGAAGCAGTTATCTGGTATTCTTCCTGGAATTTTTCTGATGAATCTTTTTTTTTCTTCACTCTGCAGGCTGCACCGGGAAGGAAAGATGAATTTTTCTTCTTTGCAAGTCTCTTTGAAGCTTCCATGATAGACAAGAAGCTTGGAGACAAACCAATCACCTTTGAGTTATCCATAGGTAAACAATAGTTCATAACTAGAATGTGTTGAGTTCATCATAGCTGAAATAGATTGTCATTTCAAGTCAGCACACTCGTAGGTTCTATGGAGACATCTTTCCCAGTAAATCAAACAGACTGAATCATATTTATATTTCAGTAGTCTAATCACAATCATAATACAATTTTTTTTTTTTAATAATGTATTCAAGGACTTTGTTGATGTTCTGTACTATGATTATAATTGATAACATGACATGAATGGAATAAAGATTGCTGTACATATAGGGGCCAAAGAATGTGGTCTTCAACATTTTAATCTAGTAGACTCATGGACAGAATGCATTAATACCTCTTTCAGACAGTGTGTTGCTAAAACATTTTCAAACAAATTATGCATATTCCAACTTTGGAAAGTTATCATGCATTTTTGGAATCCTACACAACACATTACCATTAATGTGTCAAGCTCCCATACAATTTCTACACGATTCTGTTCATGACATTGTATTGTATTGTATGTTATATACCTCACTTAAGTAATCCAGCAATCTGATTGGTCGAAATTGCATTCATAAACTTTAACTGTTCCCGAAAATTCCCAGTTACCATGGTTAAAACAGTTCTAAAATCCCAATAACCATGGTTACCGGGAAAATAGTTCAGTCTCCATGGTTACCCCATAGGTTCACATGTTAAAAAATGGTCTGAGCGATCGAGGATACCGTACGTGTGCGAAGAATTGGTCGGTAATTTCAATACAATTGAATCTCGATCGATCTTACCGACAATTTTATCTTGCATTGTTGACATGAAGACGAAAATAAACTTCCAAAAACAAAAAAACAATATCTGCCGATAGATCTTGATCTAAGTTTGTGCCAATATGCATTGCAAAAGTAAAAGAAGGGCCCGTTTAATGGAGCAGCGGCGAAGCATCCGTCACGATAAGCCGTTTTCAATCCATTTTAATGTATATATTAGAGAAAACTGCTATATATGGTGATAGAGCGCGCTGGCCGAGCGGTTTAAGGCGCTGGTTTTAGTTACATCACCTTTTGTACGCAAGAGATCGAATCCCATCTTCGACAAAAGTTTTTTTATTTTTTATTTTTTATTTTTTAGTCTATTTTTTTTTGGCATATAAAAGTATTAATGACTGCTTTAATATTCGAGAAATAGTTGTTTTTATACGCTCTCGGGAAGGTTACAATTGGGCTACTGCCCTCGGCACGCCTCGGGTAATAGCACAATTCTAACCTTCCCTTGAGCGTATAAAAACAACTATTTCTCTCAAAGCAGTCATTAATACTATATTGTATTGAATGTTCCATACTTAGCAACTTTTGACTATTTCCTCTGTAATACCATTCTAGGTAACCATGGGAACCAGATCGATGGACGCAACATGCACGCGGCTCGCACCACCTACGACGAATCAGACTCCGAAGAGGAGCAGCTAATCCAGCCGAACCCGTCTGAACCCGTGCAGGAGGTGGGCGTGTCCATGACCCCACCCATGCAGCCCAAGATGGTGGACAAGAACTACTACTACATGCCGTTTGACGAGAAGAAGCCGATCATGTATCTCAAGTTCACCACCGAGGACCATAGAAGGCGCTTCTATAACATGAACATCCTCTACAAGATCGCAGAGAAATTGGTAAGTCAATATAATGATAATATTATTTTCTCTGCATTTATATAGAGCTTAATAAATGTCTCTTAGTGCTTTACAGTCATATTATTACACCTGTCATCAGATTAAGGCTTGCTCACACACAATGTATGATGTATGCACATTCTCCACTCCCAAGCGCCATTTTACAGATGCTCACTTGCTGAGCAAACTACATTAACATTCGCACCCTATCAGGTACCCATTTAACACCTGGGTGGAGAGTGGCAAATGTAGACTAATGTCTTGCCAAAGTATGTTAGTGTCAGGCTGGGATTTGAACCCTGTACCTGGTGACCTGCAGTCGGGTGACTTATCCACTAGACCACAGCGCCTCTACATGCTGGCCTTTGAGCACCAGATGGGTGTTAATTCCTTAGCATAGAGTTTGCACCTTTTGGGGGGGTTCCGAGGATGTGCTTGTACAGTTTGTTGCTATGATTATTCTTGAATTCTTGGTTTGATAGAAAATGTGTATGTACTGAGGGAAACACTATTGAATGGAATCTTCAAGATTACAATGAACATGTAAATGAGATCTGCCAAGAGAATTAGGTAGAAAATATTGAAGGAAATCAACTTTGTTTTTCCCCCTATCTGGTAATGATGTGCATGAGAGGAACTTTTGCCACCACTACCTTCCTACCCTAGTTGATCATGCATGGCCCAGATAGGAGAAAACTAAATGTTGATTGGCACAAGGCCTTTTGACTTGAAGCAGAGTGAACGATGCACCACAGGTTTTATCATGAATCCAGCGCTACTGGAACCGGAGAGTTTGTGTATTAACTCTTTGGTTGCGTTCTTTACCTCTCTCATTTGCTACATGTGCATATCTGCCCAAAATAAGAAGCATCGACTTATGGTAGAATTACCTTGTACAACCCAATTGGTCTGTAACATTACCATTTTATGGTCTATATTAATTAGCTCTATAACAACCCTTTTATACCAATAGAGACACTAAACCTTGGATTGGAAAATATTGGAGCCTTTGGTATATCTATCCCATGAAGATAACGTCGCACATGGATATTATTTTTGTGGGATATAAAGGGTCAAGAGAATGAGAGAGTTCAGTATTTGATTGGTTCAATATGCTTTACCTGACATAACATATCTATCCCTGATTGTCCTGTTTATAGGAGCAGGGAATAGCTGATGTAACCGACAGACTCTCCAAAGAGAAACCAAACTGTGAGAAAGTGCTACGGAAGGTCTTCAAAGCATTTGTTGAGTCCTGCACGTAAGTATAACGATATGACATTCAATTCAATTTATTCATCATCCAACAATGTTAAAACACATATGACAGTCATAAGTACACAAATTGGCAAATTAATAGATGAAAGCATACATTTTCTAAAAGCACAAGTCTGGTAAAACAGAAGGCATCGAGTGTTTCATATGAAAAATGATAACAAAGTTGATACAGACACAGCGCATGAATGTGGACAATAAGATCTATACATACAGTTAGCAACTCAATTATTCATACCCTTACCAAGTTTCTGACATTTGTTATTATGTTGAAATTGATTTTTCCCCATTTTATGTTTCTTGAGAATGTGACATATCAAAGCTTATTACATCTAAGAGTATTCTACATAAGCCTTATTTCACCAATCCACCTTTCATACTTGAGTTAAGACAAACACAAACAAAATATGAAATTTACAAGGGGTGTGAATAATTAAGATGTAAATGGTACATGTACATGTATATTTCAGTAAAGGTGTTGATTGATTCTGAAAGACATCAACACAATGGACCTAGGATGCTCAATGGAAGAGGCTGAAGCTGCAGCAAAGGACCGCAGAAAACCTGAAGTTTCTCTCCTGTCAAGTGCAGTAATTCATGATACTATGCACTGAGTTGAACTGTTGTTGGTTATCAGAATTAAAGATAAACTTGAGTTCTGGTAAAAAAAGAAAATTAATTCTCACAGAATCTAACGAAACTTACACTGAATGTTCAAGATTACAAATGAATGTCATGTGCCAAACAATTTTGGAAGAAAATGTATACTGGCTGAGTAATGAGCATAGAAAGATAAGGAAATCAGGGTAGTACTAGCCCTGACACCATATGTGTTGTCCCATATACATCTTTTTGTGTAAGTGATTGTTACTTTACCAAGACTCTGCCAAATTTATGATGATTTTGATGACTCCAGAACCTTGCATTACACACCATTACTTACATGCTATATTTTTCTGATCCATTCTACACCTTTTCTTTCACAATGCAATCGCATTACCAGAACTCAAGTTTATCTTTAAGGCAACATGCAAACAAGATATCTTGAGCAAAATTGAAGTAAACAGTGAACTGACTTATTCCATTGATACCTGTATATAAATACCACCCTAGGGAGACAAGAAAAGTGATCTTTGTAGACAGGTTTCTTTAGTACAGGTTTCAATGAGAATCCATTTTTAAGGGAAATAAAAATGTGGTCTTTGTAGAAATGGTTGTCGCTAAACCAGGTTCGACTGTTGTATTGTATACTACATGAATATGTTCTACAGGTCAGATAAATATACACTTTCTAATTATTATCTGCAGACAATTCTCCAAGCTGACAAAGGGCACAGGTGGAGGGGCTAACGCAGGCAAGACTAAGCTGGACAGAGAAAGACATAAATGGCTGCTTTCTGAAATGGTTTGTATTTCACATACTATTCTCAATCTCATCAATAGTGATTTGTCCAAAGACATTGTCAGTGACCCAATAATTTTCCTCAAACAACTATCATCCCAAGTGCTTTGATTGAGAGCCATCTGCTTCACTTTACCAAATGCCAATAATCTTCACTTGCCATATTCCTTAAAACCACATTCTCATTTGATTTCCATAGTGATGCATAAACACTGTACTTGTATATTTACTCATTTTTATATTTATGAGAATATACAAGAATCAATGAAATGGAATTCTCAAGGTGTCTGCCACTCTGTCTTTCCATTTCTGTTATATGTTGATGACGTCGTACGGCTCATCGTGTGACGTCATCAATATATAACAATTTCCTTTAATCATTTTTTACAAGTTTCACACTTCAATTATCATCCCATAGATTCGTACTTAATATTTTGTTATCATTGATCAATTTGTGCTCATGCAATCTCTTTTTGGATATCACTAGCTTTTTTCATAGTCATTCATTGTTCCATCTGCATATGAATTATCATAGGTAGATATACTTGGAATCATTATACTCATGTATCATTACATAATATTACAATTGGATACTAATTCTAACATATGTCTTTACACCTTTTCCCCAAATTTTTAATGCTCTCATTGGCCACTGGACTGGAAACTAATTAATGTCTACAAATTCTTTGATTATTTATTGCGTTTATTCCTTTTACCATTATTTTGCCTGCACATTACATGCTGCTGTGGTTTTATCTGTCGTGCAATTGCCACTTGTCTCCTATTATCAATCATTTGTCATTAACTTTACTACTGTCTCCTTTGTGCTGAGGATTTCAATTGACAAATGTCTGTGCTTGTTTGCTTGCTTTGCTGTGCATGATGCAACTTTAATAATTTACGGAAAATATTTTTATCAATGCTGCACTTGATGAACTTGAAATATATCATATATATATTTCATTTTGCTTTGATATAAACTTACCTAATAATAACATGTGGGTCTTTATGTAATCATATTTTTTTTAAATGTCAATCTAATCCTTTATGATGTTGTGAATGAAAAATTATCTATGGATGTGACAAATGTTTCATTTTCGGTTGTATCTATATATTACATTACAAAAAAAATGATGACTAAATCTACAATCGAAAAAAAATATCGATCACTTTTTTTCCAATTATAAAAACTATGTCATTGAATATTCTTGGACCCAAATGGGGTATAACGACATACACGTGTACACTACCATTGGTGTTAAAATTGCACTGTGGGGGTTCAAAAATAGAAAGTGTTGATGATGGATGCCCAGGAGGTGCTGGGAGATGAACATAACGAGCTCAAGAGAGGGGGGCATGGGACATACAGGGGTGGGGGCGCAGAAAGGTCCCCTAGGGGTGTATCCCCAGCCCAGTCCCCTGTCAGACAATCCCCTAGGAAGGCCAAACCTCGATCTATGGATCTCTTCAATCAGGTATACCCTTACGCTGCCTGCTTAGAGTCTATCGGACTCGGTAGACATGAATTGGTTATGGATGTCCATTAGGTCAGATGATATTGAGGTCAATTTTGCTAGATAAAGTATGTTCACAACTATTCAGAATATGTTAACTTTAGTCACACTCACAATGTGTGTAAAATGTGATAGAAATACATGTATTTCACTTTTGGAAGATTACGTTGTTGTGAAAAATCACTGATAAGGTAAATTAAGGTAAATTAATATGTACTTGTACATGTAGAAAGAAAACAACAGTTGTTTTAGAGCTATTTGTGAACGTAAGATTATCAAATGACTATAGCTCCGTTCATTTACTTTGTTATTTGGGGTAATTCAAAAACTGTTTTGCCGCAAGTACATTACTGTAACTGTTTATGTTCATCGGAAAATAGCATTGGTCATGTACATTTTTACAGAGGTAACCATGCTAGCTTGATCAATGTAGCGAAATGTAGTAGCACACAAAAATGTGTGCCTTTTGAAGAAAGAAACTTTGTTTTAAAAGCCATTGTATATCATGTTTCTGCATCTGTTGAGCTACCTTATGATGCATGCAGACATACCTACTCAACCTTTGCCTTGGTACCTACCTGCCAAACATTTATACAAACAACATTTTGAGAAAGAAACTTTGCATTGTTCAATAACATGCATCCAGAGGGTAATATTCCTCAGTCTTATACAGTTAACAGCTCAATCTTTCATACCCTTACCAAGTGTGATCATTTTTTTTTTAAGAATGTGAAAAATTGTGGAGTTACAGAAATCACAAGAGAATATTAAATTTACGAGGGGTATGAATGATTAAGTTATTAAAGATAAACTCGAGTTCTGGTAATGCGATTGCATTGTGAAAGAAAAGGTGTGGAATGGATCAGAAAAGTTGATCATATAGCATGTAAGTAATGGTGTGTAATGCAACGTTCTGGAGTCATCAAAATCATCATAAATTTGGCAGAGTCTTGGTAAAGTAACAATCACTTACACAGAAAGATGTATATGGGACAACACACACAGTGTCGGGGCTAGTACTACCCTGATTTCCTTATCTTTCTATGCTCATTACTCAGCCAGTATACATTTTCTTCCAAAATTGTTTGGCACATGACATTTATTTGTAATCTTGAACATTCAGTGTAAGTTTTGTTAGATTCTGTGAGAATTCATTTTTTTTTTTACCAGAACTCAAGTTTATCTTTAACTGTAGATGTAAAAACACTCTCATACCTATCTAAAATGTTCAATATGATCCATGTATCTGCATGCTATCCATTTAGTCTTTTATTTGTTGCCTAAAACTAGCTGGCTATATCTATGCAGTTTTTATTGGACATAGAAATTGGTCTTCTTGATACTTGGTAAGGATGCTTGTTTTTAGTTGAATTTGAAACCGTGAGTGTGAATAACTCTTTGGTTGATCAGTAAGTGGGTATAGTTGGTGGGTTTTTCTTTTACCTTGCAAAAATCATAGTTTCTTGCTTAATGGGATATCTTGTTGTGTAAACTTTTTTGTCTCTATTTGGGTGTTATTTCCTTTCTGATCAAAGTTAGATTGTGATCTTGCAGTATCAACCATGAATGAATCTGCATTCCTTCTTTACTTTCATTTCAAAATTTTCAGAAGACTTTATTTAGTGTGTGAGAATTGCAGTTGGGCTAAAGGCACTATTTTTTTTTCATTTTAGGTGGTGGAATAGCGCATTTATCCATCTTGAGAAGCCTAGAAATAATACTTGGGAAATTCAAGCTAAAGGATTGTCACATACAGTCCTAAAGGGGAAAATGCTTTGTTTGTTTTCTTTATAATCAACGTCCTTGTGGCCAAATTGATCAGGGTGCCTGAAAATATAAACCATAGTTCAATTTGTTAACAAATGTCTTTTCACTGGATGTTCAATTCTAATGATTTTTTTGCTGTCCATGACTGATTTAGCATCAACGCACGTAAAATATAAATGCAAATGTACAATTGAATCATTTTAGCCGTAGGATAGCTCTCAACCCATTGCTAATTGGAAACAAGGGTTCCTGTATTAAAGGAAACAAGAGGGTTCGGTAGTCAACCAATTATTATCGACTTGTAATTAGTGTTTCCAATGCCCATGGATGGATAAGGACTTAAACCTCCATAAGCCAGTCCTGTGGATAGGATTGAATGTAGTTTGTCCTTTTTTGTATCTTACAACCATCTTGATTTACTTATGTTCATAATTTCTAAAGAAAAACAATCATGAATTAAGGTGATGCAATAGAGAAAGTAACAATTACTTAAAAGATATTAAGAGCAACATTTCCAAGCGCAACCATTTGGTGACATGGGAGAGAAATAACATCATGTGAATATTTAATTCCTCCTCATTAAATACCTCATTCATCTCATGCCTATCCAATCTTTATTCATGCATGCACTCACTGGTTTTGTCAGGATTTCGATTTGGATGACAACTTCATCACCAGACAGGCATGTTATCCTTTCTTATGTGTTAGAATCACTATTCTTGTGTGTGGGAGTAGCACAAAAGAATTGACAACCAGTCTTTGCTTTTGATGTACTTGTTACATGTATGTTTGTACAGATTACTGTTATAAAGTACTAATACATATTAACACAATGGGATTTTAACAATCTGTTTGTTGTGGAATCTCCACGTTGCCTATCACAAGATAACTTATCAAACGTTATGTTGCACATTTTGAGGTGTTTTTTACCATTTAAATTCAGAGCAAATATTCCATGAAACAATAAGATTTACACTGTTTTCATTTGAGGCAATAGCAGCCAATACAGGTAAATTTATGAATCCTTGCACAAATGGAGTGACCCGTAACACTTACAAGAATTTGTCTGCTTTGTTCAAGGAGATAGTGAGCATTGCTCGTGTAATATTAGTGTATTCAGTTATGTGAGCTATTCAGAAAAAACTCATAACCACACAAATTTTTCTCCCATTATCCTTGTGTGAATGGAGAGACCGTAGCACTGTGCATCTTTGTTTCGATTTGTGATCATTTCTTTGTCGTCATGACTAATATAGAACATGTATATGCTTCCTGTTTTTCCAGAATTTTGTTTATTTACACCAGTGTTATTCATGTTCTGCTTTGACTCTGTGGCAGTAATGCAGTTGGCTTGGGATTGTAACTGCTAGCTCACGATAGGTAGATGCTCTAGACAAAATTATTCACTTTTGAAGAATACTGGTTGCCATCATGTGAATCGCTTTGTCAATGTATTTATAGTGCGTGGCGTGTGGTGTAAACATTTTGCACAGATTTAGTGATGGCATGTATGAGGAGTCAAAAATCTTGTCCTTTCATGGATATTTCTCGTTGTATTTCAGGAGGAAATAAACAAGAAGACAAAGGACTTGTTGAAAGGTAGACGATGGACCCAAAGAGCCATTAAGGAGAAGCTTAAGGCCGTCAGGGGCTTCCTGCATCGTCTGAAGTTCCTTGCTGATGAGGTGGGTTCTAGCTCTCTAATGCTTCATTATGTTTATCAACAATAATCATAGATCACTATGAATATGACGGACAAAGAAAGCGGACAAAACATACAGTTCCTCAGGTAGATAAAGGAACATCCCTTTTACTGCTATTATGTAAAAATGTGTAGAACAGGTGAATATACATGTGACACCTGTTCTACACATTTTTACATAATAGCAGTGAAGGGATGATCCTTTGTCTACCTGAGGAACTGTTTATTTTGTCCGCTTTCTTTGCCGTCATGTTCATAGTGGATACATCTCCAAAAGTCAGAAATTACAGCCATCTTATATTTCATTCCCAATTTTTACTTTAATTGCATTCCATTAAAAAAAATTGTTTACAATACATGCACCTATCATTGCCTCTGGAAAATATTATTGGGAATGGCTCCGTAAGGATCTTTGCGTGATGTACATGTACACTTAGTGGAGAGAGAGAGAGAGACAAATAACTATGTTCATGAAACCCATAACCTATGTAAGTATTTGATAGTTTTTGAGGTTGCATACATTCATGCGTGTGAATGCTTGCGTAATACAAACGATTCCTATTGAGCATTATGATGCACACTTTTGCGTGTGCTGGAAACTCAGTGACCGCTGGAAGTATTCATGGTATGCTTTATGAATATATAATATTACTATTACTGTTATTTTAATTTAAGATAAGGAATTAGTAATAAGATTATATATGTATTGTATTCTTTCCTATTAGCCCCAGAACTGTCTTCCAGATCTGTTTGTTTGGATGATCAGTAACGGTAAGAGAGTGGCTTACACCAAGATCAAGGCCAGGAATCTCATGTATTCTATGGTGGAGGAAGAGAAAGGAGATCTCTGTGGCACCATGCAAACTCTCTTCTTGAAGGTAAGGACTACTACTTTAGGGCAAAACGTAAGGAAGTATGTTAATTGGCGATGGTAGTCAGTTTCCATGTGCAGTAGGTCATTATTTGCTAACGCCAGACTTGATGGAAATAACATTAATGGCTGTACAACCCCCTGTCCACACACAACATTTTCCGTGATTAGCTATACCGTTTCGCGATAGTGATACCGTTTCGCAATAGTTTTACGATGAAATTGTGTGTGTGGACGCTCACTAACGATACGTCGTATAACGAAACTAGTCTAACGAAACGCAGGTTTGGGCATCGTTTCGAACTGAAAGTCGATAAAGAATCACGCCTAATCACGAAAATGTTGTGTGTGGACAGGGGGAGTGTAACTAGTGTAACTAACTGGGCGGGGCTTAACGTGACCTCGAGCGAAAGGAGACCAGACTGTAGAGTTTCAGGATTACTTTCTTCTGTTTATGGACATCCTTGAATTTATACGATGATTATTTATATGACGTTTCTTGTGTGTGGACACTTTGACGCAGGTTTGGGCATCGTTTCGAACTGAAAGTCGATAAAGAATCACGCCTAATCACGAAAATGTTGTGTGTGGACAGGGGGAGTGTAACTAGTGTAACTAACTGGGCGGGGCTTAACGTGACCTCGAGCGAAAGGAGACCAGACTGTAGAGTTTCAGGATTACTTTCTTCTGTTTATGGACATCCTTGAATTTATACGATGATTATTTATATGTTGTTTCTTGTGTGTGGACACTTTGAAATTTATACTATGATTCTTTATACGACGTTTCGTTATAGAGTTTCGGGATAAATTGTTTTGTGTGTGGACACGCTGCAAGTCTTGTACACAGCAAACCTGTGATCCCATCAAGAAATACCTCCTAGTCTCTCAGAGAGTCTCAGAGAGGGAATGTAAGATGATTACTTTCCTTGTAGGGCAATTGATAGAAAACGCAGAGCATTACATAAGGTCTGTTGGTCATAAAACTGAATGCTAATCCTGGTGATTGACAGCACCTGTCATTGGGTAAACACCTGAATATTGTCAAATTCCCCATGAGAGCCCACTACTATGGGTCTTCAGCATGAGAGACTGTCTTGTCTCTCATATGAACTGTACAGTGTTCCAGTCAAGTCAGCTTCACCCTCATTAGATGGGATGGCTACTTCTTTTACCTCAAGAAATTAATTTACCATTTCACTCAAAGACCACAAATATTTGTGTGGTTTTGACCACAAACAATTTTCCATGATATGTTTGTATAGTCAGTAGGCTAGAAATGCCAAATTCCATGTGAGAATATCCGCGGTATCAAATAGTTAACCACCTTTTAATGCATTCGCTGACCATTAAGGTCGTGACTTTCCATAGACTTAGTGAATCTTCTTCTAAAGCTAGATTATTATACGGAACGGTAATGTTTCAATAATGATAACTCATGTCAGAAATGGGACACCTTCTTAACTAACCACCTCCCCCCTCCTTGCTACCAAAGTCCTGCAAATCAGAATATCTCCAGGACTTTGACCCTCTGCCTTAGTATGTTTTATGAAGTGCCCAGGGGAAATAGTAGTAACACAACAGTAAGATTCTAAAAGAATAATAATTGATACCAAAAAAACACAAGAGCAAACATTGTTTTAAAACATGTCATATGTTGCCAATTTGTCATGACAAACGTAGCTCCCAGGCAAGAAGGGGACTGGTTCCGGAGGCTGGTCAGTGCAGGCCAAGCTTGATGTCTTCCTATGGCTAGGTCTCAACAAGCATCGTAAGGACATGCTGAAGGGACTACCCAGTGGCTACCATATGGACCCAGAACTCAAGGCATCAGTCAAGCCTACCAAACTACCCCCTCCTCTCGTCTTCTATAGAGGTAAGGCCAATGACCAACTAAACTACTCTGGATCCATTGTAGCCCATATTTTTTTCTCAGGAGTATAAATTTTTTTACGCAGAACGACATAATTGAATACGTAGTATTCAACACCACCAGCATTTATATGCATACATTCATATTGCTGGTTTGCTGTGCAGTTTTTATCAAATTTTCTTGTCCAATATCTCCATTCAGTATTGCTATTAAGAAGCCAATACTTCTCACACTTTTTCAGAGCTTTGTTCTGCTGAAATAATTTGTAGGACAATTTACAACCACTATAATACCTAATGTATTCACAACAAATCAAAGGTACTGCATCCAATCTCTTAAAAAAAATATTGCGCGTAACAATTCATTACAAGATTTCAAGGACTGGTACGAGTGACATGGGTTTTTAAAAAGAAGTCAGAATCCACAAGTTTTAAAGGCCCACTGTACTACTTGTAGCTACTTGCTCCCTCTATATAGAAAACAATGCCTAATCGATGACCATTGGTCCCCCATGATTCTCTTTTTCTTACGTTAATTGAGAGCTGAGTTGATGAGATAGCCACCTGTCAGTGACCTTCCTGGATGGTCTAATCCCTCCTAGCCAAACTAGTACAGATGGGCTTTAAGTTAAGCAGCCTTTGCTTCTATTGCATTATTTTTTTACATGTGAACTCTGCCACCTGTACAAATTCTCCCTGTCCAAGATCCTCTGAAGATCCCCCAGAGCTAATCTCCCTGTTCCATTCGCTGCATGTATTACAATGCACATTTACCTCTTATATACTGTACCTCCCGCAGAGAAACTGGTCTTCCAGCTACGATGCCACATCTACCAGGCAAGGAGCCTCATTGGGTCAGACTCTTCCGGTCTCTCTGACCCCTTCGCTAGGGTCGTGCTTCGGGATGAGGTCAAACAGACAAGGGTAGGTTTATTATCCAAGGACAAGTGTGCCTGGCAGAAGGACCAAAACATGAGATTTTGGAGAAAATATTGTTTGTATTGCAATGATAGAGACTTTTTTATAAAGATGTTATAACATACATGTATCACCATCAAAAGAATTGTACCTCCTACCTTTTTGTCGCCCTCATACAAGACTTAACATCTAAACATTGTCAGGTTTGTTCCGATGAGAGTATACATTGTATTCTATGCCTATTATAAGTTTTACGAAATTCAACATTAAGGGCTACTGGTGACTTTCCTCTTCATCGAAGTACCCCTGTCCTAATGGAGACACTTGCACTCGGTTCCCTTGAAGTTTTAGAGATAATTTTAGATTTTAATCTTTAAAGGCCCAACATAGCAAGAGATATGATTGCAGAACAGTATAGGTGCATGCTAAGTACACCCTGAATGTCATTTTACTAATGTCCATTGCTGTCCTTGCCCAACATAGCAGCAATGGTGTGTCTGGCGGAAGGGTACAAGCGGATACATATATAGCTAGTGTTTATGTAAATGGGATTTAACTCCATCAAGATATTGCATGGGATTTATAATCACACTCTTTACTTAATACTATAGTAATATATGAAGCTGATATCGTGATTACATATACTTCACTAGTATGAAAAAACAAGAAACAAACAGAGAACTTTTTTTTAGAGATATTCCCCCATTGACTATTATTATTTGCGGTAGAAAACATTATTTGAAATCTGAAATCTATCATTCCCGTACCACCCTTTTCCCAACACAATGGATTTGGAGTCACCTGTGCTTGGGAGTGGAAACGCAAACTGAATCACTGTAACCCTTCGTTCTCTCCTCCGTGTGTAACTAATTGAGGTGTGCAGGTGTACCACTACACAGGGGTTTCCCCTAATCTCTTACGATGAATGTGTTTCTTTGTGTCCTTATTGAGCAGGTGATCCAAGAGACGCTAAGCCCGACCTGGGATGAGGTCCTCATCTTTGAGAGGTTTGTTGTTTATGGGAACAGAGCGAACATGAAGGAGGAACCACCCATCATCTGTATTGAGTTCTTTGATATTGACATTGGGGTGAGTAATGATGATCCTTGAGTTTTTTTTTTTTTAATTTATATGTTGAACCTTGAGTTTCATACATTTACATGTAGATCTTCTTTCTTATGTCATTTCACCAATGAAATTCCCTCTGCACATGTAATTACAGGTTGATTCATAGCCCTCTGTACAAAAAGTTTTTTAAACCTTTTTATTTTCTTAAAACCCTGGATTGCCACATTGTTTGTGGTATATGGACCTACACAGTGTATGTGTGCCAAAAGTCAGTTGTAGCAATCCACCGAATGGTCCATTCATCAACTGAAGCTAGTAATGGGTTAAATGCAACTTCATGTAATGAAAGCATAACTGGATTTTTAACCAATCATGATTGCACATTTGGGATATTCAGTAGTTTATTTTTTAACTTTTTTGAATGATAGATGCCACATTCCAAATTTATTTTCATTTCTTCTTAGTTCATAACACATTTGCTACATAGTACATACAAGCCATTGATTCTACTGCAAGCTAAATGCATGTGGTAAAGTTAAACGTTATTTTTATCCGTTTTTTAAATGTATGTTAATTTGTTTTTTTGCAAATTGTTCATGATGCTGACATCTACACATTGTGTTCCCAAACTTTCGGTCACGCTCAATAATTTTACACAGAAATTGCAGTAGATTAGATGATTTTCCACTGCGAGATGTCAGTGATGAAATACCACTAAAGTATTATGAATTTCTACTTTGATGACAGATCACAGATGCAACAAATCCGGTAATTTTTTGTATTCAGAGCTGTGCATTTAAGTCATGAAGATGCGCTGTTGGCTTTTCATCCCGTTTGGGTTGGTCACGGCATTCACTTCAATGTTTAGATACGGGATGTTAGAATATTGAGCTTCATGTAATGTTTTGCAGGTAATAATGTATACTGCAGGGCCATTATGATGTTAGCTAGACTGTGTGTAAATAATTATATTACTTTTATCACTGGGGAATGTCATTAGATTGGTACATTACTGGCAAAGAAGTCATTTCACAGTCCGATTATTCCATGAATAATTGTTAAATTTGGGAAGAAATTGGAGAAAAAACTTGGTGATCATTTAAGCCTCGGTCAGATATGCAGTGGTGAACCGAGGCGATAATTTGTATGATGACATAAGTGTGATACACTTCACATATCCCTATCTTATAACACATAGCTCAATGGATATGTGCAAATCCTTTATTGTGCGCAGATGCCGTTCATTTACACGTTTAAAACAATGTTTTTTGTATGGTTTACCACTTCATATCTGAACGAGCCTTCAGTCATGGCTTTTAAGAATAATCATTGTATATATAGATGGTGGTCCGATTCTCTCCTGTTCTGATACTATTGGTACAATGTACATTCATATTTACCTACATGTAGATATATATATATATATATATATATATGCAAATCTATCATAGACTTATGTATCATGCCAGCAACATCAAGAGAAAGTATTTTCATCATGAGGAAAAGATTTCATTCATCTTGATAGTCTCATTTCAGGCAGACATCATTCATGCACCACAATATAATGCCATTTGATTTTGTATCCAATTTTATGTACAAAATACATCTCATGAACTTGTGTAGTTAGTTCTTTTTTGTTGTTTGAACAAGTAAAGACACCTGTGTGCTTCTTATTGTGAAGTCACTGTGTTCAAATTCATGTTATGCGCAAACCGTTATATTTCATGTACGTTTCGCTTCTTATTTCTGTCTGACTGTTTGTCTGTCTGTGTTCCTATGTGTTTTTCTCGTCTGGGTCTCATTGTCTCATTGTCTCATTGTCGTCCTGTGCTCAGCAAAGGGTAAGAATCGATGCGTGCAAGTGCATCTAGCTGCTAGTGAATATATTGATCTTGCTCCGTCCAACAATAAAAAACCTAGAAATAGAGAATGGAATCTCCTCTAACTATAACAGCTGTCACACTCTCGAAGGACAATAGGCAAAGTTTGTAGTTGAAAAAAATCATGCTTTATGATTGCTAATTATTGTTAATTGTTACATTCTGCACTGGTATTCCATTCGTATCAGAAATTTACATGCACTAATTTATGTGTATGCAAAACATGCATGAATTGACCATTATATACAAAATGTTCTAAAACGTTTCATTGCTTGATTTTTAAGAAAAATTGCATAAAAAATATGAATGCAACTATATCAATAGGGAGATTACATTTTACTTTTACTCTCTTTTCCTGCCCTCTTCTGTATACATATATCATTTTATTGCAACATATCCCACAGTCAAGGGTAAGAGTTGATTGAAAAGATGTGAAAAAATGAATAAAACATTCAGTTCATACATTTATCCATCAGTAAAAATGGAATCTCACATAGTTTGTTTTCAAGATCTAGTTTACACATATGGGTATTCACATTGTGAGAACTATTTCAAAGAGATTTTGTGTGGTATTAAAAGATAAATATTGTTTTGCTTGGCAGTTCTAAAGCTGAAATAGTCATGCATTTCAATATATGATCAATAGCACTAATGAAAACTCTCAAATAACTAGAAATGCAATTTTAGAAGAAAGTTGTATTCTAAAAAATATGTAAGATTCCATTTTTGTCCTCGCCAATATGCATGGAAAATTTATACAAAAGGGTAATGAAAATTTGTTATTGGGAATATATTCACTGCATGGTAACTGAAATTTTTACTTTTTTATCAACTTTATGTAACTTCTTTGGCATGTTGCACAAATTGTGAACTTTTCGGATGGCTAAAAATTACTCCTCATGTACACGTTGCAAAATTATAATCCCTTCATAATATATGCAATTTTTTTTATACTGATTTATAAATAAAAAAGAAATAACCATTAAAATCTCCAAAGTTGCAATATGCTCAAATGCACGTCATAGTTCTTCTTCAAATATATTCATTTTTTGCTGTATGATATATTTATCCATTTAAAGAATATATATATTATATTTTGGCATGTGTTAGTACTGTGGGAAAATATTGGAGTTTCCATTTCAACATGCAAAAGCAGATTCATTCTAGCTTTCACCAAAACGTATTTTCTTTTATAATAGAAATTTCTATGTTTCAGAATAACAAGTCCCCCTTTTTTTTGGGGGGGGGGGGGGGAGGGGGGGGGGGCTGTATGTGTAAGTCATGCGCATGTACACCATTCAGAATTAAAACTAATTTATTAAGTTACGATGGTGATGATAATGATGATGAAGGTGATGATGATAAACATATTAATGCTGCTGCTCCTGCTTCTGCTGATGATGATATTGATGATGATGATGATGATGGTGATGCATTTGATAAAGTTTTAAAATTCTCATTTATTTTTCACATGTCAAATGATTTTGCTAGCTGTCTGTGTACAAGAGGTGTGTTTCAGATTGTGCTATTCTATAAGCAGTGCGCCCCGCATTTACAAATTAGAATCATACCATTACATTTTAGAGAAAGGAAAACTATAGTTAATTTTCAGAAATTAAAAAGGATGTCAGAAAATCCATAAAAGCTTACTAGTCATTGGGCATACCGATAGAAATATTTCCATACTTTATGTTGCTATTTTCAAAATTTGCCTCTTCCTCTTTGTTGCCGTTGCATTTTCATAGTCAGAAGATACATATCTATCTCTTCTGTTTTTCATCATCTTTTTCAAACAACTACTTCGGTTATTCTAGATCATAATGCCCTGCAATTTCACTCCATTGACAAATCTCTTAAAGTTTTGTAGAAGGTTGTTCATTAAGACCATTTAGTTTTTGCAATTTTATTTCCATAATCTTAAAACCTTTGCATTACTTTTCATTAAAATCCAAACTTAGACACCCAGACATGATCAAAAGCTTACATGTATTCTTTGAAAACATATTTGCAATTTAATTTGCAGTCTCTCTCCATGGTAGAGAATATATCCATAGAAATTACAGTTAAATCTGCATAAGTCAAATCTGATGGAACCACAAAAAATAGTTCAACATCCGTAAAATGCAACTTTGAAAGTATACCATTAGATTGAGCATACTCACACTGATTTGACAAGCTTTTTCCATTCAGTTCTATTTTCCATGATCTTTGGGAGTTCCTGCCTTGGTAGACTAGATAACACACATTTTGTATAGTTTCGTCCAAAGAATTGATTCAAATTATGGAAATTTTGACTTGTGAGACTTCAACTTATGCAGATTTAATTGTACATATATATTCCAGCTCCTTGAATCAAAATACTTTCAAATTTACATTTTCACTATCTAGAGTACTATTCTTTTATCATATTTGACAAATCATAGTCAAACTCATTTTAGAGAGAGGTTAACCTGTATTAACCATAATTGACATTCATTATATCACCTTTGTTCATCTAGATCATATTAGAATTGTAGAAAGCATAATTTTTTTTATACAAACATAGCAAAACTTAGCCAAACATGATGCATTTGAAGATATGAATTTTGATTGTTCTGTTGTCTTCTCATCATTCAAAATGTAAACCCTCTTCTAAATTGATCTACCCCTTCCTGATGACTTCCGGCTTAAAGATTCAGGTACGAGTATCAAATGTCTGTGTGTTTGTTTGTTTGTTTGTTTACTTGAATAACAATGACAAATATTGATATACATATACATGTACCACACTTGAATGACATTTCTAGGGCACCATTAATTTATTATTGTGCATTGAAAAGAACAAGAATGACTTGTGGAATACAGCCTGCCAATCATCCTATTGTGTCATCCACACAAATTACTTTAATTACAGAACTTATAAATATATTCATTATGATTGCACGATTCATGTGCACTACTGAAGATAAGGTATTAATAAAGCCTTGTCATTATACTTTCTATATTAAAGGTACTCATTAAAATGAGCAACTGTTTTGTATGTTGGTCAAAATGTTCGTAGAAAGCCAGGAAGATTGCAGAGAAGAACTTTTCATTTTTAATAAAGGAATGACAATCATTGAGTGTTTGTTATAAACTATTTTGACAGATTTGCACAAATTAATTACCCCCCCCCCCTTTAATATTCACTTGACATTGTTTGATTCCGATAGCACAAGTATCTTACGCCCAATAACTGTGTACCATTCATGGTTTGCATTTATTAATTACTGCAATTAATACGTAGCTGAATCACTTGCTGAGTTACTTTAGATGTATGCTAATTAAATGTGTATGATGTTGACATATGAGTGAGAGAGTATGTGAATGTGACATGAAAAGATTTATTTTTGTTTGCTGTGTTGTGATTTGATGATGGGGGCAATTATCACCCCCCCCCCTTCCCTTTCTCTTCATGTGTCATTGCTGTGATATAGGAGCACCAATACATGTAACTGATATCAGCTTACCAATATGTCTAGATCAATTTCCTGCTCATGTTTAGTAATCTAATTTCTTGCAAATAGAAAGTTGGATTTCTAGACTTTTCTTAAAAAGGGCATATAATGTCTTTATATGGTTTGCACTTGCTTTTTATCATAAAAATGTTGTAAGCTAGTGCATGGGTATGCATGCAGATTAGTCTCCTTTATGTTTTTTATTTTCGTAAAGCCTTTTAAATCACTTCTGAAAAGAGCAAATCAGGAATGTAGCCATGTTTTCTCGCGCGTTTTATGCAAATATTGTTCACATAGTCAGGGTTTTTTCTGAATTGCGTTCCACTTCATTTGTTTTTTTCATTCTATGAATGAATTAAACCAGTGATTGTTTATAGGTATAAGAGAATGCAGGATTAAAATAGTCTTGTTTGAAGTAATTGAATAGATATATCAAACGTTTAGTGTAGAAGTGAAAATAGAATTTAGTTTAATGTTAAGTCATGGAAAGTTGCAATATTTTCCTTTAAAACTGTTTTCTATCACTTACCGGTAGATTTCCATTATAATTAATATTATAACATTCTGCCAAGGGACCAATATTCTCAATCTGTTAGAGTAGAATACATCTAAGCCTTCATCAGTAAAAAATTAGCATTTTATACTTTGATCAAACATTTTGTATACCGGTGCAGCCATTGATTAAAGGTACACAAATATTACACATGCCAGAAGCAAAAATCAAAACACATATGAATGATAGAAAGAAACATGTTCATTCAATTTCATACATAATTTAACTTTGAGAAGGGGTAAGATCCTTGCTCACTGTACAAATTAATAATAACTGACATAATAAAATGATCATATTTTCTGATTCTGATGGTATTTTATTGGACTGTCTTCACCTCTTGTAGACCGGCTGTGAATTCATCGGTCGAACCCTGATCAGACCAATCGTCAACATGCTTGATGACTACTATGAAAAGCCACTCTTCCCTCCTATGCTACAGTGGCATGATATCTACAGGGGGCAGAGCCAAGGAGGACAGCTGCTTGCTGCGGTCGAGATGATTCAGGTAATAGTTCTTCTTCTTCATATTCTTCTTCTTCTTCATTTTCTTCTTCTTCCTTCCTTTTCTTCTACTTCTTCTTCTTCATCTTCTTCTTCAAAATGTACTACAGTTGTTCTGTTTTTTTTTATAGATCTCACCTGTTTGAAGCAAGACGAGCATAAACTCATAATCATAGAATAATTGCCCTTTTGGCTCTGTCACTCCAGACAGATGATACTTTTCATGAATTAAACATTAATAGGATGTTCACTTTTGATGTGTTTCTTTTTGTATTCCAGTTGACGAAGGGCAATGAACCTCTTCCTGATGGTATTCCAATCACCATATCGCTCCCTATGAGGAGAAAAAATAGATTCCAATAGATAATATCCAGAGGGAGGAAGGAAAGGGGAATGGCTCAAAATGTTGTATAGCTGTTCTGCGTGTTTAGCTAGATCTCAATTGTTTGAAGCCAGGTGATGATAAACTCATAATCATTGAATTATTGCCCTTCTGGCTCTGAATAGATGATACTTTTCATGAATTACATGTACATACTTAGTAGGATGATCACTTTTGATGTGTTTTTGTTTTGTATTCAAGTTGACGAAGGGCACTGAATCTCTCCCAGTTGGTATTCCAATCATCACCATCCCTCCCTATGATGAGAAGAAGAAGGAAACTCCAATTATCAACATCCCAAAAGAGATCAAGCCAAGACTGTGCAAGTTCAGAGTGGAAGTAAGCACCAAAGTTCAGTCATATTTTCACTAGCGAACACCCTATTGGTTCAAATGGCCAATAACTATTTGACGGTTTCAGGAGGTAAATTAATAATTATATGATGGAGTATTACATGGAGATTACTAGGCCCTGGAAACTACCTTGAGATGTTAGGTGTCATTAAATCAAAATATTGTGTTTTATTAAAGAAAACTCTACTGGAGTAAACTCTATTGTGTTAACTTGCTTAGAAATGTATACTGATTACAATGCGTATCACGTTTGCCTCATGGCATACCTTCATTTTACGCCATACATGTCCCGCTGACTCTTGAAGATTGAATGGGTTATTTACTTTCATTTTTATGCCTCCGTTACGAAGTAGCCGGAGGCATTATGTTTTCGGGTTGTCCGTCCGTCCGTCCGTACGTCCGTACGTCCCGTTCTCGTGATCGCGTTATCTGAAGAACCGATTGATGGATTCCTGCCAAACTTTGGTCATGTATGTTACTTGCAGAGCCGATGAACTGAATAGATTTTGGGGTCACGAGGTCAAAGGTCAAAGGTCACAGGGCTCATTATGTATGCAAAAATAGCTTGTGATCGCATTCTCATTAGAACAGATTGATGGATTCCTGCCAAATTTCGATCATGTATGTATCTTGCAGAGCCAATGAACTGAGTAGATTCATGGGTCATGAGGTCAAAGGTCATGGGCTCATTATGTATCCAAAAACAACTTGTGAACGCATTCTCATTAGAACTGACAGATGGATTACTATTTAACTCAGGACATCTTGCAGAGCCAATGAACTGAGTAGATTTTAGGGTCATCAGGTCAAAGATCAAAGGGTCATATATGTATATGAGAAATTGCTTGTAATCACGATATTCTGAGAACCTCTTAATGGATTACAATTGAACTTGAATTTGAAAAATTTCTTCTGTTTTGGTTTGTAAAATTGCTCTATGACGGAGGCATCATTTTCGACTGCGCGCAGTCGAAGTTCCATCTAGTTATCACATGAACCCCAGAAACTGTTTATGATCACAGGGTTGTGAACAATGGGCTTACATAATAATAAGTAATAAACAGTATCATAGATGTATTCACTTTATACCTCCCAAAGTTTAAATCAAAGACGCTTTGTTAACACCATGTCTAGTTTCAAATTGTACTCTTCTATTGGCTCAAGTCAGGTTCATGACTGCTTTAAAGTAAAAAGCTTTATCCATAGATGTTTTATGTATAGGGGTGCCAGTTTTCAGGCAATAGCCTGAATTCAGGCCCTGGCAAGTTATTGTCAGACCATAGTTTAGGCATTTTTGTGTACAAAATAGCTCATTCTAGGTAATTTTCAAGCCCTCTGATCAATTCTAACTGGCATCCCTGTACGTAGTATTTCGCGGAAAAATGACAATTTTGTGTTTTGTTAGCTTGAGAATAAAATCATGAAGTTAAATAGCATGGAAGGGTCGCTCAAAAAGCTAGGAGTACATTCAATCCATGGTTTTGTCATTGTATTAAGCATAATTACTAATTTACCACTTTATTGATTTTTGTTTAGATTCTGTTCTGGGGTGTGAGAGAGTTGAAGAGACTTCAGCTGATGACCGTAGACAAGCCTCGTTGTGACATAGAGGTCGGCGGGGTCACCATCTCTTCCAGTATCATCTCCAATGCTCAGCGCAACCCCAACTTCCCCAACAATGTCCAGTTCATTGATGTGGTAAGCAACATCACACAATGCATTCACTGAAGTGGAATTTATAGTTCATACTACAGTCCAACCTGCTGTAGTGACCACCTGTATACGAAGACCACCTGTCTACAAGGACCACATTTTTTGTTTCCCTTGAAAGTGGTTTCTCATTGACACATGTACTAAAGGAACTACAAAGACCACCTCTCTACAAAGACCATTTTTTTTGTTTCCCTTGAAAATCTTTTCTCATTGACACATGTACTAAAGGAACCTGTCTACAAAGACCACTTTTGTGTTTCCCTTAGATACATTCACGTGTATGGCTTAATTTCCTTAGCATTTTTTAACAGAACAGAAAAGAACTGAAGTGAATTAACCCAAACTGAACTGAATTGAAATGACTGAATGGAACTGAACTAAATAGAGCTCCGATGAACTGAAATAAATCAATTGATGAAAGAGAACTGAACTCAATTTGAATGCAAACTTCATTGAAGTGGACTTTAAAACTGAACTGAACTGACGAACAAAATTGAAATTAATTTAACTGACAAAGCCAAATATAATTGATCTGATCCTCATTATTCTCAGCTGACTTGCAATATCTAAATTTTACCAAACATCAATCTGTATGAATCTCAGTGGAATATAAATGAGCTGACCCAAAATGCATCGAATTAAATTGAATACGTCTCAAATGAACTAAATTGACTCGATTTGAACCAAAAAATACATCAATGATATTTCACTTCATCATCCTCCACAGGATTTGCCGGAGAATGACCTCTACTGCCCTCCACTGACCATCAGGGTGGTGGATTGTCGTCAGTTCGGACGTTTCACCCTGGTCGGTACCAACGTGGTGGGCAACCTTTCATCCTACAAACTCAAGGAGAAAGAAGAGAAACCACCGGAAGAAGAACTGGGTAGGTTCTTCATTCATGATCACAAAGCCCTCCACACAGTATATCACTTGACTTGACTACAATCCAATTTCAGTAGAATTCATGTCATGTGATAGTCTAGACTTGTAAAATCTACTTATTTAAAGCCCCACCGTACTACTTGTTGCTACTTGCTCCCTCTATATAGAATACAATACCTAAGCGGTGCCTTTTGGTCCCCCATGATCCTCTTTTTCGTACGTTAATTGAGAGCCGAGTTGATGAGATGACCACCTGCCAGTGACCACGCTGGGCGGTCTAATCCCTCCTGGCCAACTAGTGCAGACTGGCTTTTTTATAGTCATACAAATAGTAAAATCCCAGTAACACACAAAACAAGACTCCAGACTTGCCCCAAACCAAACATCTCTTAGCATTGGGAGGATAAATTTTTGTTCCGTCTGTTGTCTGTCTGGAATCGGTCTTGTCGGTATCACAAAGATATAAAACTGTAATTGTGGGGTGTGGTGGGTCTTCCAGTCAGAGAAAAGGCTTGTTCCGAAGTGCATTCCTTGAAATGCTTGAGTGCCGTAATGGCAGCCGTGCTAAAGCCAGGGTAATAATCAATAATTATTTTGTATTGGCTGCACTGTAAGTGTAATATTGTCTTTTTGTTTTAATGTAATGGATGGATTCAAACCTATTACTTACTTTGTTCTAGTCCATTGTGTCTTGACTATACATTATGTGGTATAACCGTACCAATGTCTAATTGTACAATGCTTCCTTTTGGTAAACGTGTCTGTTTTACCGTCTGTCTGTCTGTCTGTCTATTTGTCCTGGTTCCTATATTGTCTGCTTTTTAGAAATTCCCTTTGGTTTTAAGGGTGTCGGCCTGTTTTCCAAAGATACTCCTGCAACTGGTAGGTTATCCCCTCATTTATCAGTTCTGCATCAACGTGTAGCAGCAAAAGAGAAATAATATTCCATTGCTCGCAATAACAATTGAAAATCATGTGAAATACTAATAATTGTTTTTCTAAATGTTATTCAAGTGTGTTTCCATGTTTATAGCACTTAACAATTGATTTGTATGTGTGCTTTGTATACTGACTACAAGTACAGATAGGTTCCTTTAATATTTTCTGTCTTCTCTGTTGTTCTGTTTCTTCCTCTCTGTATTTGTAAATCTACACAGTACATCTCTCACTCACTCTCTAACTCTCTCTCTTTCTCTTTCTCTTTCTCTTTCTTTCAATTCATCATCATTTGTTTCAATCATGAAACCATAAAACAATATATATATACATAAAGTAACATGAAACAATCATAATCTTAAAATTCTGGAAATCATGAAGGAATTTGAGACTATAAAGGAATTTTGAAAAAAAATTGTAAGCAATAGTCCCTGTCTTTTCTATCGTTCTGTTCTTCCTCTTACATGTCTATACCTCTATCTCTCTCTCTCTCTCTCTTTCTCTTTCTATTTTCCCTTTCTCTCTCTCTCACTCACTCTCAATTTCTCTCTCTCTCATTTTCAATTTCTCTCTCTCTATCTCTATCCTTTCTCTTTCTATTTTCCCTTTTCTCTCTCTCTCTCACTCTCAATTTCCCTCTCTCTCTCTCTCTCTCTCTCTCTCTCTTTCTCTTAATATACTGTTTTTATACTGCTCCCTCTCCTTGCCCGTTCTCTCATACCTTCCTATTATCTGGATCCAGAAGGGCGTTAACTCCTATACTTAAACACAGAGTTAATGCCTTTCTGCTTTCAAGGAAAACATATTATGTTCTATATATGAATTTCTTTTCTTCATCTGATCGTTCAATCCCAAAATGTTAATGTTTCTCTAAACCTGCTCATTTTATATTCTACTACATTCTTTCTATATCTTTGACAAAATTGTCCTTTTTTTTTCTCCCCTTCTCATCTTCACCTTTACTTTTTTTTGTTTTCCTCCATTTCTTCAACTGTTTCTTATTCTTGACAAACTGCGTGCACCATCTTTGTATTGTGTGTTTGTATGTTGATGTTACGTTCACACATAAATGTATAAATGTGTCAGCATTCATCCGTAACCTTGTTTTTGCATTGTCTAGTTTTGTTTGTTTTTAGTCAAGCATGTACTTAGTTCCCTCATACCTTGTCACATTGTAAACATTAGAGAGAAAGGGGGAGGCTTAAATCCCATCGCATTCTGTGTCCACACGTTCGTCATCAAAATGCACCAAATATTAGTTATTGAGTTCAAATTGACAAACCCTACTGGATATTAAAGGAGTTAAGATGGGAAAGGAATAGTACCAAAGTTGATAACTACTATTAATCGTCATTTATAATAAATATTCTATATAGAGCTAGAAGTGTGGTTTTTTGATTGAAAGGTTTTATTGAAGAACAAAATACATGATAAAAAAGGCATAGTGTAATTAAATGTTTAGTTCCAGTGTAAAGTTAAGAATCTGTATAGTGTATGAAGTAAACTGCAGAGCAATCCATGCCGGAGCTTAGAATGGCAAGCAGCGAGTATTGTATTCTTCTTCTTCTTCTTCTTCTTCTTCCTTTCCCTTCTTTTACGTATCCTCTTATATGAATTTTCCATTGTCGCTTTCTACTACTACTTCCTATACCTTTTCCCCTCTCAGCCTTTTAACACTGTTCCAGTCTTTAAATCTATCCCACTCTTAATTTCAATAATTTACGGTGTATTTGCAAACGTTACTCCTCACCTTTCAGTTTTACTCTCGATTTTTTGCACCACATACACTTGCTCCGTTTACCGCTTATTGCTTACTTTAGTCCTTCTTTCACATGATTTCAGTGCTATTTAATGCTATTTAATTCAGATTTCTTTCTAATTTATGTTTCCATATGTTGCAATAAGCTATATTTCTCGTATTTATACTGATTTATTTTACAAATTCAATATATCATGTTATGCTATGTTATATATTACATTATGTGTTATTAATTTTGTTTGTAAACTTTTGTAATTTGGCTAAACGCCGCGATGAAAGTTTTATTTGAAATAAACCATTTTGAATTGAATTGAATTGAATTGAATTAAAAACTGCAGAAAAGTATGCTCTACAAAAGGAAGAGATGATTTCTCATGCCATATGTCGCTAAACTCCAGATCTATATTGCATTCATTAGAAATACATGCATACATGCTTTTGATTTTATTGCAGAAAGATTCTGTCAAATCCATGAATAACCTCCATGACATTTAGTAGCTCAAGAATGCATCTACATTTAACAACTGAATTATCAATTCATACCCTTGTAAATTTGATGTTTTTCGTAACTCAAGAATAAAAGGTAGTCTGGTTGAAATAGGGCATTTGTTGAATACTTTTAGATGTAAGCTTTATTATGTCACATTCTCAAGAAACATAAATTGGGACAAATCAATTCACAGATACTTTTTTGAAAAGTTGCAAAACTTGGTAAGGGTATGAATAATTTAGTTGGTAATTGTATTGGAATTCCTACTAATGGACATGTTCATTGAGTAGTCCATAGAGACAGAGCATTAATGTAGAATAGAAAGCAATTAGTAGTTTGTAGGAGATGCATCATCCAATCAAAAATCTGCAGACAGTTATGCTCTAGGAAAGCAAGCAAGATATAAGTTCATATATACATGTAATTGTTGAAAACCAAAATCTAGTTCTAATGAAAAGCCAGATCATGACCAACCTTGACTTGAAGGAAAGAAAATAGAAAAGGATGTGCAATGTAGGTTGTACAAATCATCTATATGAACATAATATTGCTACTATAGTTATCACTCTACCTTTAAAGGTACTATGTCCCATTTGCAGGCCAAAAAAATGAAAAAGTTAAATTCTAACTGAATTTGAAAGATAATACTAATTTAGAACTTCCCTAAAAAAGGTGGGGCTTGAAAATGTCTTCAAGTGGGAAAATTACGACTATTGGTTGTCAAATCGACTTTAGGGCTATAGAGCCCAAAAGTAATAGTCTTGATTTTCAGACAATTGTACCGAATGGTCATACGTTTTATGCCGCGCAAAGATTCAATCAGTTTAATCTTGGCCATCACAAGAAATGGGTTATTGATGTAGACAAATGCTCATGTACCCTTTACAACTCTTTTCATGTATGTTATTACCAAAGAAGACAAAAAGCCAGTCAGTCACTCAATAGTGTCTGACAGTGAAGTCTAGCAAGTAAACGGGTTTCCTTGCATAATTTGAATATGAGGACACTGCTAACGTTTAAATTTCACACACAGGACATACATGACATATTCATAATTCCTGCAAAGTTCTACAGAATTTGAAGTTGGCTGCAAAAGGGACATAGTACCTTTAAGGCTATGTAGTTCATGACAATACTGTTGCGAGTGAACAAAAAAAAAATGTTAAAACCTTATCAAGTATTGAATAGAAAGAAACTAAATCATACACTTACATGTACAGTTCAGATATAGGCCAATTTTGTGTGTATATTCTTTTAAAAAGGGTCGTTCTAATTGGCAATTTTTATTATTTTTAAAGATAAATTTCATTTGCCAATGGCTACTAAATCAATTTTGTTTTGACACTTTTTTACAATTAATATTATAATAACGACTTTGTAAAAATATCTTGGTGTTTATTGGTATGGGATTTTTTTTGCTTTAGATTGTTTGCATTATCATTTACTGCTTTTTACCCTGGTAAGTCATGCAAAATGTGTTGAATCTTCTTCAGTTTCAGCAGCGGACGTGCTACTAGGTGTTGGTGGTCCAGGTGGCCCAGAGAGAGGTGGCCTGAACGGATCCGCCAGGCTCCCCGGTAATGGCTACCCCCGCTCCCTCAATGGTAATGGAAACCTCCTGGGCTCAGGCCGGGCCTCTAAGCCCGGCTCCAAGGCCGGATCCAAGGCGGGATCCAAGGCAGGCTCCAAGGCTGGCAGCGTGATAATCACACTGGATCCACCCCTCGATCCAAATGGTAAAGGCGATGCAGTGATAGACATGCCACCAGATGGGAAGCCTCCATTAGAGGGAGAGGGGGGTAAGGACGAAGCAGGGAAGGAGGGATCTATGAAAGGTGGTGATGGAAAGCCTGGAGAAGGGTCCAAAGACGGAGTAGAAGGAGCAGTAAAAGAGGTCAATATTCCATTTATATCATTGAGTGAAATGAAGATATTTGTCAACTATTCCAGAAATTGAAAGTACATTTCATTGAAATTGTTCATGTTCAATTGCCATCTTAACCTCTTGAACACCTAGATAACTTGGCTGGAGTCTTTGGAAAATGTGTGTAATATCATAATCTAATTGTATCCAACAAGTAGTGATGCAATCACGGGCTAATGGTAGCAATAGTGATAGTCAAATTATATTGCTCTCTTTCCAAAAGATATAAAGCATATCATATTATGACTGTTAACATGGCTTAATTTAGCTGAGCTTACATTACAAGGTGCTTTAAGTTTCAAGGAAGGAGCCTGTGTATGTTGGCCAGGATTTTTATAATGCCATAGACTAATCTTGAATTTTCCTTTGTTAAAAATGCAACAAGAATATCTAATGGATGCGATGATGCATGTTGTTTTCATTCATGGTGCAACCTTGACTAGCTCTTGATGAGGCTGTCTGCACCTATCTATAGCAGTCAGCTTTTTTATGATATATGAAGCTTAACCAAAATATGAAATCAGCAATATACCAACCAGCTTTTTAAGAATAGCAGATAATAGACAGAAATGGAGGGCCATGACTGCCAATGTCTGTAATGTACAGACGATGACGATGACGAAGATGATGACGATAACAATGATGATGATGATGATGACGACAATTATGGGGATGAAGATGATGATTGTGATGATGATGATGATGATGATGATGATGATGACAATGATGATGACGATGGCGATGATGATGATGACGATGATGATGAGGACGATGTTGATGATGATGATGATGACAATGTTGATGGTGTTAATGATGATGATGATGATGATGTTGATGACAATGTTGTTGATGATGATGACGACAACGACGATGATCTTGATGATGATGAAGAAACTTACAGACTCGCGATATATTAGTGCAAATATTAATAATAATAGTAATATGTATATTTTTGTTTCCCCCAGGGTGAGAATGCTGAAGGAACACCGGGTGCTGCCGGTAAGAAGAAACTGGACGAGGATGAGGAGAATTCTCTAGACTGGTGGTCTAAATACTTCGCTACCAGGGCTGCCCTTGAAAAGGTATGTACATGTAGAGCAGTATGAGCATACATGTTGGAGCACATTTATGTGCCGTAGCCCCTCTTCTCACTTTGGTTATCTTTTGGAATGTAATTACTTATTACCGCATCAGTCAACTTCTATCATGTGTAGTTTGGACTGGAATATTACTGATATACCTCATGATTTGGCAGTCCATGGGAAGTGTTTCACAAACTTCACAAAGATGAAGAACGACTAAAGTTGAACTTGAACTATGGCAGGCCGTTCATGCCATTAGCTCTTCTAACCATTCCTGTCATTGTTTTATCAAGGGACATACATATCGTGGTCACAAATCTACAGAATTTATATACATTTTTTGATAGTTCATTATTGAAGGAAAAAATATGTAAAGATCACAATTTCTAAGGTTTTTTTCCTTCAATTTTACATCTGGTTCAAGATTTTTTAAGGGCATAAATCGCCTACCATAGTATAAGTCCAAGTCTTAAATATATCTTAGGTTCACAACGTAAGTAACTTTTTAAAAAAAATATAGATTTGTGATGTCCCTTGATGAGAGCAACCAGTGGCATGAATAGCCTGCCATAGTTCAAGTCCAAATCAAGTCAATCTTTGTGAAACACTCCCCAGGGCCTTGTCCTATAAAGAATTGTGATTATTTCACATCAATCACAACTTGACGTTGATTGCAATCCTGTCCTACAGAGATAGGAGTTTGTATAAAAGTTTGTGATCAATCACAATCTATCTCAAGTATTTTTAAGGCGGGCAGTTTGGTGGTGCCAATGATTTAGACCTTCTGTGTAAAGGGTAAAGAAGCATTCTCCTACAAGCTCATAATTTAGGGACATTGATAGCAAGTTGCAAAATAATGAAAAGGTTTGAATGGTGGCAAAAGTTCTGAATTCAAAATGTTTTATATGCTCATGAATGTTGAATGTGTGAGACTTTTTAGAGCAAGTAGCCACAACACGATCAACATCATTTTAAAAAAGCGTAAATTTTCAATTACATGGATACTGAGTTGCTTGGTTACAGCGGAATTTCCCATACTATAATCATTTGATATAATAATGCATATTGATATCTTGCAATTAAAATTTGTGTTGCTCTACAAACGTGTTGATTGTTTAAATTGTAAAATTTAATCTAATGTATTGTCTATTACCTATGTGTAAACGCATTCATGGTATTGTACACAGGAAGAAATAGCAAATATGGTGAGAATATGTTTTTTTTAAATATATTATATGTTTTTATTATATTCAACGCAAGTTTATATAAACCACATCAAATATCACAAATATTGGGAAAGGGTACATTAAACACTTCATAAAATAACTTGGTCCTGCTATATTTCAGATCACACTCTGACTTTACAATTAGACTATGTTTTTGAACACATAGAACGACCTGATTTCTAACCAGATTGAAGGCAATTCTGGCTGTATTAACCCTTTGGCTACTGGAACCCTATGGTCCCTGTGTTATGTCTATAGGATTGAGAGGATTCAGAAGTCAACAGGTTGAAGAGGTGTCCATATTTTCGGTTGAAGTTACTTGACTGAGATCAAAATTGTTGTTTATAGTTTTACTTTTTAAATCAAGAGAAGGTTGAGTTCTGGGAAGAGGTGGAAAATAATTTGCGAGCGTTATCATTATATTATGTAAGTGTGGAAGAACATCAGATACAAAATGTGCCCTGAAAAGCATAGCTCTTGATGAAATGCCTTAATATTATAAAGATGGCATGTAACATCATAAACATCGGGACAGATTTTTATGCCACATGTTCGTGAAGTACCATATACATCTTTCTGTGTACAGTGCTTGTAACTTTACCAAGACTGTGCCAAATTTCTTATCATTTTGATGATTCCAGAACCTTGCAGTACACACCAATACTTATATGCTAGATGATCAACCTTTTCTGATCGATTCCACAACGTTTCTTTCACAATGCAATCGCATAACCAGAACTCAACTTTATCTTTGAACTTTTGATAAGGTTGATATGTATATGTATATTCAGTACAAAATAGGTATGAATTTGCACACTAATAGTTGGCAATATAGCTTAATGTGTTTGTTTTTTTCTGGTGTTTTTTTCGTAGATTCTCACTTTATTGCAATAGTTATTTAGGATTAATCCTAATTTCTTTTATAATTTACTATATCGTCGGTGGGGTGACAAAACCTTGTATCTCAATTTTTTGAGATTTTGATTTTTTTGCATAATTGTGTACCTAATGGCCTACGACACCACCTGATAAATCCATGGAACGCCTCCTGTCTCGTTTTTTTTTCACAAATTCCACACAAAGGACGGTGTCACAACACTAAGTCTGTTGAGACAGGAAAGGTTTTTCTGCTCTCCTGAAAATTCATGATTTTTGAGATACGAGGTTTTGTCACCCCACCGACGATGTTATACATGTAAGTTATGTAATAGTGGGTTATGGAAAACGTTTATCTATCGCCTATGTGAACCAGATTGTTCCTCTGTTAATCCTATGGGAGTAAGAGAATTCAGTATTCAAGGATTTAAAGCCCCTCTAAAGTGTTGGGAGCCCCAAAAATTTGATGGAAAAATTTCACTTAAATTGTATCATAATGTGAAAGAGGATGTCATTTTAAAAAAAATTCTGAAAGGATTTTCAAAACAAATGTGTTTGAAGTCGAATATTGTGAAAGAATACAAAATTGAGGTTTTCTGCGTACAACAGAAAACCCAAATTATGTATTCTTTTATAAATATCTGTCTTCAAACACATTTTTAGGGGTAAATCTTTGCAGAAGGGAGTATTGAATGACATCCTCTTTCACATTATCAAACAATTTAAGTGAAATTTTGCCATCAAAATGTTGGCGAATTCGGGGCTCCCAACACTTTAGAGGGGCTTTAACTCCTGATTGATTCTTTGATACAATAGGGGTATGAATTTGCATACTAATAATAGTTATTCAATCTGTTCAGCTTATTATTTTTGTGTCTTTTGTTCTGACTCATAGAGAATAGGAATAACCACTATATTTCATCTCTTTATTTGTATGTATCATGTGCAATTAGCGGCTTATGGTATATATTAAGCTCATGGTCAGTTATGAATGTAGCTTGAAATAAAATGCTGTGGAAATCATTTCAAATTCGTCATCATAATTTTTAAGAGGTAGCTTAGATAAATGTAGTGGCACAAAAACAATGAGAATTGCATAATTGTGACATTCCAAAATCATAATTCATCCCCCAAAGTTAAAACCACATCATTAGGATATAGAGTGGTGAAGTGTGACGTTAAGTATTGGCTGAGATATGAACATCTGAATGAATATATGTCCTATGGGAGCTCAGTGTTATATGCTCTGGCTCCTAACCATTAGGAGCCAGAGCATATAACACTGAGTTCCTATGGGGAGTATATTTATTCAGATGGTCATATCTCAGCCAATACTTTACATATTCAATTGGTTTTCAACATTTGGACATTATTTTTTATGTTCTTTCGGAAAATGAAGAAAAAATTGAGAAATTCTAAAAATAGATTTTTATGACGTCACAGCTTCGGTACTCTATGGAGCTGGTAAGTGCATATACCATCTCAATGAGGTATAATGTTAGCTAAACTTTCATTTAGATATGTCAAAAAAAGAACATTTAATGAACGCATCTTTTTGTGCCACTCTTTGTTGCTGAGCGACCTTATCATCCTCATTATCATGATGATTATCATCATTGTTATTAGCACCATAATGCGTTGTCCTTGATATAATCATGAACATCATCGTTTACACAGTATGGTCATGATAGTTGGAAATTTATAACAATCCAAGTGTACATGTAGATCATCAATACAAACAACATTACAAATCATTCGGGTATATCATATTACAAGTAAATAATTTCAAGAAAAAAAGGAAACAGCATAAACTTGAATAGAGAAGGAAAGGGAACAAGAGAGGGGAAAAGAAAAAGAGTAAAGAAATGAGAAAGCTGCAATGATCAATCAAGTAAACTCTACATTGTACATCCAAATATCAAAAGAGATAATGTTATTATAAAGAACGTCAAAGTATGGGTATAAACTGATAACTACATGTACTGAATAATTATTTCAAATTGATACTCTGAAGCAAAGATAATAATATATATGTATATATATAATTAATAACCAGCAGCATGTGTTGGGGTACAAGCTCAAAAGAATATGGAATGGTTGAAAATGTATATTGCACTAATCACCTGCTTATTGTATATTATACATGTATACACACCAAGGGATAAAACTATTCTTTTTAATCGGTTTGTTATACACCTGGGCAGACTCACTTGTTTACTTCTCCTTAGGTTATATTTTGTCTCTCATTTTGGTGGGAGAAGGTCATTTAGGTTGTGCTGTGGTTTCTGTATTTGATTAAATAATTGCAAGCACATATTATTTCTACGATCAGCTAGGGAATCAATGTTCAGCACATTTAAGCGTCAGTATAAGGTGGGTCGAGGGTGATTATTCTCAGGGCACGTTTTTGTATTGATTCCAATTGGTTCCAATCTTTGGTGAAAGACTTGACATGCATATTCCAATACAGACCTTATACAAGCTTTGTAGTAGCCTACCTACAACCGTTTGGACCAAGAGAAATAAATGATACAACCCTTGCATAAACCTTTTCCACATGAGTATTCCAATTCAATTTATCATTGATCAATAACCCTAGTAATTTTATTTCTTGGACACAGTCTACAGGTTTGCCATTAATGGTAAGTGGATGAACAATCACATCTTATGTAAAATTAATTACCATTTCATTTGTTTTCTGTGGGTTGATCTGCTTATCATTGGCCTTTGACCATGTGATTAATTTGTCTAATGCTCGTTGTAAGGAACACTGGTATTGTACCTTACAGATATCATACACAGTGGTATCATCAACATACTTAACCATGGAGAATTCAAGCTTTAGATCGGATAGCATGATGGTATACAAAAGGGGACCGAGTTTGGTCCCCTGCGGGACACCGCCTTGAACGTATGTCCGCCGGAAGGTGGATTGACCAAGTTTAACCCTCTGTTGTCTTTGACATAAAAACGATCTTATCCAACTGACAGTCTTATTGTGAACACCGAGCCTGACATCATTATCAACGTCATCAGTATCATCATTAACATTATCATCATCATCACTGTCATCTTGGTACACGTTTCTTCGTCTTCATTCCTAAAGAATTTTCCAGTGCCATATTTTGATAATGGTTCTAACAATATTGTTCTTATGTGTTTTCATATCATGTGATGGAAATGAATATTATGTTCTGAATTCCATCCTGTATGAACAGCGTCGACTGAAAGAAAACAAGCAAGGGGTATGCATGTGCTCCTGTTTTTAGATGTCTGAAAGTGACTATTTAAATCTGCATGCCAACACATGAATATCTTGACATTGTAATCAATTTATGATATTAGAATCAAAATAATTAAGCTGTTGCATGAGCAGTGCTGTAATAGCTAACATTCCTCATTCATAGCTTACCTGTTGTGTTCTCACCCATTATGTTATTCTACTCATACATTCCTCAGAGTGCATGGGGAGGAATTATCTTGCAGATTAACTTTAGAATTGTCTGAACTCAGAAGCACCGAAAGGCATTTGCAAAGTGGACTTTTCTGAACTTACCAAATGTGATATCATTCACTGGTTAAACTTTGTTTATTTTTATTTTTTCTAAACTGTGTACATTTACTGTATCTGATAAACTTCAAGTAACATAATTATGATAGGCATGATTTAATATAGGCAATTATTAATGAAAATATACTAGACTTTTACATATACTTGTGCATGAAAAAAATATTTCCAGAAACCATATACCAGAAGATGTGAAAGGCAGGGGCCTGTTTCATAAAACATGTTATCAATAACAAGTTCCAATAGCTGTTATATAAACTACTGACATTTGATTGGCTGAAGGCAAATTTGTCATAGAGTTCTAGCATTTGTTATTGATAATAAGTTTTGTGAAACAGGGCCCTGGTCCAAGCTATTTTGTCCTGTACATGTACATTACCAGCTTCATCCTAGAATTCAGTATATTTAATGATTTATCAAAACAATTATTTGCAAGCTTTATTCGACCTTAAATCAGTACAATTATGGAGAAACATGATACTTGTTATTATATATAACTTTTCTATTATAATTACCGTAATACTTGGTAATGCATGGGACACTCATCAAATGACCTGCACCTGCCCTTCACTTTAATCAACTCTTTGTTATTCATTTTCCTGTTCTAATATTGTATCATAATTGTATTATCTGAAAACAGAATGATGTAGAAGAGGTGAGAATATATTTGCTTCACATGTGTTCCCTTTTGGTTGAAGTGATTTTTATTTTAACTTGAAATTGAATGTTGTGAACTTGAAATATTTCATACAATTACTGATGGATGTTGGATGTCTCTTGATGTGATATGCGACATCATGATCAGTTGTTTAATGTGTTTATGAACGATGTATGCTGGAATTAAAACTTTTTTGGCCATGACTTCAAAAACGTTTTGGCAATGACTTAAAAAATAACACTTTAATTGGAGATAAAGAGAGAGAGAGAGACTCCAAGGTTGATTGCCAAATATTGTAGAAGAAATTTTGGAAGAAAGAAAGGTTGTTTTTCTTATACCACAACCTAAATGTTTAACATAAAACATAAGATTTAGAACTTGTTTGATAACTCACACTTTTTCAGCGTTGTGCCGTTTAATTTTTCAATTTTTTTTTTAATTTTTCAATTTATTTCCATAACCTTTAATAGTTTATTTGCAGTTTTGCATTTTAAGTATCTTTCCTAAGGAGATAAATTGAAGGGAAGAAGAAAAGAGAGCAAAAGAGTAAAACGAAGCTGATCGAGACACAGATAAAGTGAGAAGGTTATCGTGTGTAATGTAACTTGAAAAAAGGTGGAATTTTTTTCTCTAGATTGCATCAACAAATAAATGCAACTAATTTTTCAGTTGTTGCATCCTTAATGCAACTGATTTTTCTTGGATTCAAAGTCAAAACACTTCCAAAAAATTAGCAATACACATTTTAAACTATGACTATCACATTTTTTTGTCTTAATCTCATCCATAATTGTATAATCCATTAACACATTTTAATTTTGTACTAATGAAACATTGACAACAGAATGTTTAATTCGTCCCTATTTTCACGAAGTGACGGTAGTGAGAAAAATCATCACGCAAAGTGAATGCAATTTTTTTTCACTACCGTCACTTCGTGAAAACAGCGACAAATTGTTAGAATATACAATCTGCATTATGTAATGTTAATATTCTCATAACCTGAATATTGTTTGTCTCTTTAGAGTCAGAAAGGCATTAATTTGGTGTAAAATGATAATGTCCTTCTGGCTCAGAACTAATGATTTCTAGTGTGGTGTTTATTCTGTCTGCCTCTTGTAATAACATTTTCTTTGATATTTAATTTTCCCCATTACAAGCTGCAGTGAAATCCTATAGAATAGTGTACTATATACTCATTTTATGTTGTATGTATCATGTCACATGTACTTTTCATCTATTTTTCTCTGTGAATAATGCATGTAAACACAACAAATTTCCTTTTAGACCAATAAAATCTGAATTTGAATTTGAATTTGAATTTAGGAACACCTGATTTCTTGCCAAGTTTTCTTATATTTATGATTCTTTGAAATAAAAATGAACACAAGCAGACCAATGTTCTGCAAGGAAGCTATTTGGTTCATTATTTTAAGAGTACTAAGTGCCATATTTTATCCTTTTCCACTTACAATAATAGAAAGGCTTTTCTTCCAAAAACACAAAAGAACTCCATAAATTTAAAAATGTGAACTACTCATTAATTGTCCGCATTCTACTCTTGTATGTCTTTTAGGACAATTACACAATTACGGAACAAACCTTTTGGTTTAGAAAGGGTTCATTAATTAATTTTCTTTTCTTTACCTATTGTAATGTTTGTTCTTATGATTGTCTAACAGGAGCAAGCGGATCAAGCCGATGGAAATCAAGACATAGACCTAGAGCAACCAGAGAATGAAGGTATGTGAACATAGTAATTACAAATCTAGACCTAGACCTAGAGCAACCAGAGAATGAAGGTATGTGAACATAGTAAATCAAGACCTAGCTAGACCTAGAGCAACCAGAGAATGAAGGTATGTGAACATAGTAAATCAAGACCGAGCTAGACCTAGAGCAACAAGAGAATGAAGGTTTGTCAAAACAGCAAATCAAATCTTGATACAAAGACTACCACCCAAAATGATCTAGGAATGCAGTTTTTATTGGGAGTTCATCTTTCCATACAGGATCTTTTAAAGGCTGGTTTAAAGCCCAACTGTACTACTTGTAGCTACTTGCTCCCTCTATATAGAAAACAATTATGCCTAATCGGTGACCATTGGTCCCCCATAATCCTCTTTTTCTTATGTTAATTGAGAGCTGAGTTGATGAGATAGCCACCTGTCAGTGACCACTCTGGGTGGTTTAATCCCTCCTAGCCAAACTAGTACAGACGACCTTTAAATGCAGAGTATTATACGTAAAACAGGAAATGCAGTATTCATACACGTAGGCTGACTTCGTTCATTGTGATGGGCCTAATGCTCTTTAATATCTTGTTCACTGATCATACTTAGCGACTCAAGTATTTTTAGTATTAAAAAACGACTTGGTTTTTAGGGTCAGCTAATTTAGTAATTAATTAAGCTGTCATTTTGCTTTAGCTTGTGCGATCTTATCCTGCGAAGATCCCAAAGTTTGCATCACCTGCTGGTGTTCTTTCTTATTCATGCAGATGGTTTCCATTATCCTAATTATTCTGTTTTAACAGAAATATGGTGGGATATAAAATGCTATGAATCATCATCATCAAATCAACATAACTTGCAGTGCAAGTGGTACTACTATAACATTCCATTCATTTTGAATTTGCAACTCATTTCTTGCCAGACCTTATCGTCATAGATACCACTGAGAAGAAGGAGAAGAAGGAGGTGAAGGAGGAGGGTAAGAAGAAGGGCGGGGCCCTCAAGAGGATGGGAGGAGGGCTGGCTGCTGCCAAGAAGCTCATGAAGAAAGGCGATGGAGACGAGGACAGTATGATGGATATGAACATGGAGGTGAGCAGATGAAAAAGAAAGATGGCCAATGGTCAAGCAATTACATTGTGATGGAAATTCTAATTCTAACTAATTAGTATTGTTCCTACGCAAAAAAGTATGTAGTTTCTAGCCCATGTATTGAGAAAACATTGTAAACACTAGAACACTATTGTATTATGTATGTATAAACAACAAAGTTCTTAGAGATAGAATTTTTAGTACCCTTCCTGCTCTCATTCAATGATAATATACATTTATAAAGCACAGACACTATGCAAATATATTCTACTGTACTGCAAGAACTCATGATAATTGTGCTTAACAGAGCTGCCAACCATTCCGTTTTTTCCCGGAATTATTCTGTTTTTTCATCCAATTATGTTTTTTTTTCCCAAAATACTTTTTAAAAATAAGTTTTATAATTTGTTTTTCCTTTACATACCGCACATCCAACAACTGCCCTAAAATGTTATTTTGATCACAAAGTCAATAGAAAACTAAGGTTAAAACATACTCGAAGACAAAAATATTCTCAAACAGAATGAAACGCTGATAATACCAAAAGAGCAACAACAAAACACCTACTTGTAAATAAACTATACATGTAGGTCCTAATATGGAAACAAAACTGCATGAGGAATGGACATTTCTGCATTGGAAGTGTGTCGCCCATGGTTGTGAGTTTCCTTTTAATGAATTCCTATTTTTTGCTTGAAATTCCTTTTATTTTTGCCATCATGGTTCCTTTTTTTGGTCGCACAAGGCTGGCAGCTCTGGCTTAAAGTCTACAACATTAAGTTAGCTGAAAAGATGTCCTTTTAGTTTTTATTTAAAACAATTAACAATGGTGATTTCCTAATTTCCATCAGTAAGTTATTTCAAAGTTTTGGGCCCACGCATGCAAATGATAATTCATCTATGAGCACATGAAAAGCATTTTCATTTTGCAAAATATCGTTAACACACATGTGGTACATTTAGAAGTAGTAAATTTTAAAATGGCAGTAGTAAAGAACATTAGAAATGAAAGCACTTGTAAATATTGCACAAAACATGAGCCATAAAATAACTTGCCCTCTCCTAGAAATGCTGAGTAGTTTAGACCATAAGCACACACAATTCAGAGTACCATAATTAACGGTGTATAAACCGCACTTTGTTGCCGCCGAAAAAAATTCAAAGTCTGGTCATAGCCCAACTGACTCCAAACCGACCGATCCTGGCCACAATCTACATTCATATTTGTTTTTGGTGGCCTGGTAATAATGCCTACATCTCAGCAGACTTTATCATATTCACAGCAAGCCAATACATGTATGTTTTTTAAATACATTACATTTATAGCAGAAATCATTAATATGTTGACTTTGCTACAATGAATCCATTTTGCTTACAACATTTACATGTGTTAATATTATTCTTAATTTTATTTGATCATTTTTATTGCTGTCTTTAGGAAGAGGTAATTTTATTTGTAATGGTAAATGCTATAGCATGGCCTGCAGTGGTTTGTTTTTGTCTTGTTTCCTTTGCTGTGTTACAGAGTGGATGTGTTCAGATTTCTTGCATATACATGTACACACTGTTGTTTTATAGGTCCATGCACAAAGAGATAAGTTCAGTGTGTGCCTGTATTCCTAAGAGAGTTGTGTGAATGCATTAAGGTCATTTAAGGACCTTTTGCAGTAATGTTTGTGCACATCCAACGGCGCAGTGCCAGGTGGTTATGTATTCACATTTACATGGAGTACTTGGAATAAGCCATTTTTGCGTAATGTAACCAAATTCATAATCCAGTGCCTCGAAATTCACCCGTTACCAATAATTGTATGTCAATTGTCAGAATGCAAATTGCATACATTCCATGGTGTTAGATAGGACATGCCATAATATTTGTCCTATATAAGTACTTAGCAACAACCAATGTACGCAATTTGCATTCTGACAATTTAAATACATGTATTTGTAACAGGTGAATTAAAAGATTCGTATCAAGGGCTAATGTCAAGTTATCAATTCTTCCTAGCTGGATGATGGAGAACATTCATAGACAATTAAAACAACGCTTCATTTTGCAATTCACAAAAGTATGTTGTTGTATAAAAAAATATCCATCTTCAGCAATTCTTGAAATGTTCATGTCGCGAAAGTTTCTGGTCTTACAGTAGTTGTTAACATAATTTGCAGTTACTATCTCGCTTGAATGATTTGCTTTTCAGGGAGGCGGTCCTGGATCATTTTGGGTTTGTTCCTACACATGATACAATTCTTCCACCGCTCATCATGTTTACTATAACCCATGAATGCATAATAATACGAATGCTTCTTTTTAATGTGTGCTGTCTTTATCTTTTCAGTGTTTACATGTGTTCAAACTGTATATTTCATATGGTCATATGCTGTTGGTTTGTGCCCATACATTTGCCATGTTCTTTATCCATTGCTCTATACATGCATGAACTTATTGTGAAAGTAAATGTAATAATATAAAGAAGGTGCTTGCTTTGGTCGACTCATTTAAAAAACATTGGTGTGCCACGGTTGACTTTTGTCACACATATATACACTAAATAGTGTGGCAGCCAAGGCTTGTGATACATGGCAAGTAAAGAGTTGAAATGGATACATATGTTGAAGGTGCTTGCTTTGGTCGACCCATTTAAAAAACATTGGAGTGCCACGGTTGACTTTTGTCACACATATATACACTAAATAGTGTGGCAGCCCAGGCTTCTGATACATGGCAAGTAAAGAGTTGAAATGCCCCCCCCCCCCCCCATTGCATAACACTTATAATTGATGGTTACTTTGCCATTAAGGGTAACCTTGATTTGATTGGTTGTTGAGTGATGTTGCCATGGTAGTGATATTGATGGCAAAGTTACCATCAAATGTAAGTTTTATACATTGGGGCCCATATCATGCTAATGTCTTGTTGAACAGAGCAATAATACAATTCTAAGGTGATACAGCTCGTAATACTGTTCATCTGTGATGTCTGTAAGTGCTTGACAGAAATATTATTATTCCGGTCTTTTGGTTTTGATTGTTTGTATAAACAGTAGTTATATTTCATGGTACATCATGATCTGATATGTATGTTCAGATAAGAAGAATTCATGTCATCAGCTTTGGTGAAAATGCTAGTGCCTAATATATGAAATCAGGCTTAATCATAAGGGCTTTTAAACCTGTATACGGTATGCTGGCTTCATCCAATCTACTGTAATTTTGATGGTTTGAGGCGCTTTTCAGGTATCATTATCTCATATTGATGGTATGATACTAAGCCTGGGCTACTGGTAAATACATGCAGTTTGTATGTCCTTGGATACATATATACTGGTATATATGTAGAGTCGAACTTTAAAGGTCATGGTTGATCACATAAGGCGAGGCGTCAAAAATATCGATACCAGCAGGCTGCCGCCTCACGTATTGGCGCATCGAGGCTGCAATTACGGCCGAAGCCTGGCTGGGGCAATTATTTTTCACTTATTAGCCCAGCCGGCTTGCGCCAGGCTGGGATCTGAGGCTCGGTTTCCATTCGAAAGGCGGCAGCCGGCGCATGCTTTTGTTCGGAGACCATTATGATGACATCATGAGTTAATTGAGGGTCCTACCGCCAGCGGTAGCCGGCTGAGCTAATTTAAAAAATGCAGCCAGGACGCACAAGTGCAGTTAGCTGCCGCTGGCTGGTATATTTATTTTTGACGCCTCGCCTAAGCAATGCTGAGAGTATTTGGCAGCAGTATTAGAATTGTGAGGCTTAAATTGGTTTGACCTACATACTGATGTCTTGAAATACTGAAATACTTGAAATCTTTTTCAGAGGAAAAGAAAGAGAGAGCAAGTCTTGATAGTTCAAGACTCCAGTCAATACCTTTTTTTGAGAGGGGGAAACATAATTTAACTAAAATCCATGGTGGGAATTTGAGATTTATCCTTGGTATAGTCTATATTATAGCACAACCAGCATATAGCCCCAGTACTGCCCTTGCAAGATCCCTATGTTTCCCTCGCAATCTTGGGCACAACCGGTATGGATGATGCTAGGCTCTTACAAAGGTTGAGTAACGGGAACTGTAATACTAAGGGCTGTCAACTTTGGGGAACTGCTTTGAGGGAGATCATATGCAATTTTTAATTTTGCTCAACGGGGGGGGGGGGGGGGGGGGGGGGGGGGGGGGGGGTAAAAAAAAAAAGGGGAGATTTTTTCATAAACCGGTAGATACCGGGAGATACCGGGACAGCGGGAGGAAGGGCGTTGTGGCAGGAGTCCTCGCTACATGCTGGTGGGTCGGCGGGAGAATGAGCGTGGTGGCATGAGACTCCCGCTACGTGCTGGTGGGCCGGCGAGAGAATAATAATTAATAATAATAATTACAGTGCTTATATAGCGCCTAACACTTACTTTGTCAGAAGTCTCTAAGCACTCTACAATAATGCAGCATAATCTGGCTTTAGCAGTGCAGCTGTTACGCGCGCTGCGTTTCAAGGAATAAATTCCTACCAGGTACCCATTTACTTCACCTGGGTGGAGTGTGGCAAATATAGATCAATGAGCGTGGTGGCATGAGACTCCCGCTACGTGCTGGTGGGCCGGCGGGAGAATGAGGGTGGTGGAATGAGACTCCGCTACGAGCTGGTGGGCCGGCGGGAGAATGAGCGTGGTGGCATGAGACTCCCTCCTTATACGACTATTTGCTTTTTAATATTTTAGAGTATGAATGTGTACCATACACATTAATTGGGAGTGTTATAGTTTATATCTTGAGTAGAAGCATATATGTATGCAGTTAGATTAATTTGCATGACAGATTTAAGCATGCAATTGACTCACACTATTTTGTTACCAGACAGTTTACATTTGTGTATGTGCATGAATCTTTTAATTTTTTTATTTGCCTATACTTGGAACTGGTGGGGGGGGGGGACATTCAGAAATATAACCACCAGCTCCTTCATCCTCATAAATTGACCTTATACAATCTTATTATAATGCAGGCATTTTGTGTGTAAGAAATCCTTCACTCCCCCCCCCCCCCAACAAAAAAACAAAACAAAAAAAATCAGCATATACTCAACAATTCATATTACTTGTGTATGCATGTTTAAAGTATTACTTTAAACATTACTTCAACTTTATGTACTTAAAGTCATAGAGTTGAAATATTTTGGACAAAAATAAAAAGAAGATTTGTCTATCAATAGAAATAATATCATTTATTTGAGCTCCTTTATGTTTGCATTTGTCCAAAATCAGGTTTAGTGCCTATAGTTTTTTTAGAAAGTAAATCAAATCCCCCTTTTTGACATGTAAAAATACCTATTGTGATGAAAACTCTGTGTTGTTGGGCAAGACTAACAACCAAACTCAATCATTTAAGTGAAATTTGTCTTTCATTCTTCTCTTTTGTAAAGACCGATTGAATTTGGATAGTACGGACCATACAGAGACAATGCTACTTTATATATCTGTATCGCTTACTTGTATATCAAATGGGAGAAATAGGCAAGTGTAGTGTATTAGTAATTTTGTATTCTCTTAGCTGATGAACGTCTAGCACAAAATAACCTGTTTGTGAAGCAGGATATACAAGTTGCATACTTCTACATTCTCTTATTACTTTACTGCTTCTATATGATAACATTTGAGTGTTACTGTCATCCGGGAGGGGGGTTACAGTATTTATCATCTGAAATTAACATTTGTTTTCTATTTCATTTTTTTTCTTCATTTGGATAAAAACAGGAGGAATTAGATGTCTGTCTCATACAGGTGAGAACACAATCATTTATCTTGTGTGAAGCTTTCATAGTTTAAGGTAATACAAGTTTTGGTATGGGTTCATAAATGTGGTTCAAATGAACATATTGGAAGCATATGCGATTTTACAATATTCAATGATTGTTGTCGCGGTTAAAATCAAGTCTAAAGTGAAGAAATTGTAAATAATAAACTCTTTATGTTGTATAGCTCCCTCTCAAGACTGATATTACTTTAGCTTTGAAACAATGTTTCTTGACTACAATCGACCGATTTGCTATTCCCATTTGGAAATTATATATCAGAACTGCATATTCTGAGATTTTCATTGTCGCAGCTACCATGGAATGGCCTTAGACGCTATTCAAAATATTTGAAATTACCGGGAGCACCAGTAAATTTTGATTATTCAATTTTCTCAAAAGCAGAAGTGTTTTAGGGGCTAAATTTTATAGTGTTTATTATACATCCACCGGGGCATCCAAATATATCTTTTGTGTGCCTGCTCAAAGGTGCAAACACAAATTTTGTTGACGTTCTTCATTTTTGTCTCTCTTTTTTTGCTTTTTTTGTGAAAGGGTAAAGAAATGATTGATATAGAGAAGTTGTAAATTGTATCTATCACCTTACTCGGTATGATAAGTGTTTTCGTAGATATAGTCAAAGAAAGTTTTATTAACTGTACATTTGCTGACCATTTGTTCCTGGGCGCTGGGTGAATTTTAAAAAGTATTTTTCTTTGTATGATGCTGCATTGCACATGTATTAGCTAATTAAAACTTTATAAGGACAAGACCAAAAAGATAATGCTATCGTTCAACAAATTGTCCTTTTTTTTATCCCATTCATATGGAAGTTTTATACATCTGTTAAAACAGAGATTTTACAACAATGTTTGTGTAAACGTTATATTTTAGAAACGCAAAGAATAAAACCCCTCTGTCACCTAACTTTGATATTCAATTAACTCAATGTACATCACTTGTTAAACAAACAAGAGGTTAACGTTCATCAGGGTAATAATCGGGAGAGCGCCAGGAGTGTCAAATCTGACAGACATGAACGCTATACAAGAACCCACTATTATTTATTATCCATCTCCTTCCTTTCGGCATCAGTTCTACTCGACTGAGCTGGAGAATGTTCCAGACTTCAATGGGTTCAAGGAGTGGCTTCACACCTTTGAGCTTCTACGCGGGAAGAACACCGGAGAGGAGGACAGTGACAGCAGGGTGGTGGGCAAGTTCAAGGTAAGACCAATAATAATAATAATAGCTCACATTTATAGTGCGCCTAATACTTTGTTTCTAGGCGCGGAACATATTATTACCCGGGTCATCGGATTCAGGCTTACCCGCACACAAGGTGTGCACATTCTCCACTCCCTGGGGGGCATTCCAGCCAGTCGCCATTTTACAGGTGCCATTGCTAATCAAACCACATTAGCTTTCGCATCCTATCGGGTACCCATTTTAACACCTGGGTGGAGAGTGGCAAATGTAGATCAATGTCTTGCCAAAGGACATTAGTGCCGCAGCGGGACTTAAACCGCGGACCTTGTGATCCACAGTCCGGTGGCATATCCACTCGACCCAAGGGGGTGTTTCACAAAGATCCTAAGTCGAACCTATCTCTAAGTTGGACTTAGCAATTATGTAAAGCATCTATGAAAATATTTTGTAAAAGTTATTTTAAAAGGAATAAAATGTTGATTCAAGGAGAATTCATGTTCTTGATTTGGAATGTAAAAGAATCTAAAATAATTGAATTTTCGCTTTTGAATATATATTATTTTAAGGCTACAAATAGCTCTCCATAGTTTTTAAGTCCAACTTAGAGTTAAGTTCGACTTAGGATCTTTTTTAAACACTCCCCATATCATTTGTTCAAAGAAAGAAAGCCATTTTTCAAACTGTGTTTACCCTTTCAGGACAGGATTGCTTTTTAAGGCTAAATATTTCACATTCTGTTCTTTAAAGTGGCAACAATATTTGTTCTTTTATTTCTTCACTGTTAAAATAAAGAGTAATAATGTCTCTGGAAAAAAATGTTTGTGGGTGACAATGTTGTTAAAGAGTTTTAAAAATTGCAAATTTTGATTACAAAAATAAAGATTTTTGAAACTTTCAACCTGTTTCCAATTTATGCATTTAAAAGGATATTTTTATTTTATTTTTTAATTCCTGGCATCAAACACAATAAAGTCATGCAATGAAAATGGATGCAGTGTTTGCAGATTTTCTTTCCCTTTTTGACAAATTTGCCATTTTTCTTAAGGGCTTTGAACAAAAAATATATTGGGCCAAACCAAAAATGTGGACTGATTGTCGCGTAAGGGTTTAAGTATATTACTTATGGCCCTTCTTGCTCCTAGCAGATGATCAAATCTAGGAGTATCTTTGAACACAAGATGGTGCAACAGCCATTTCAACTCTTCATTGTCAATGTCGTAATTGTAACTATTATCAATTTTGGGTTCATATCCCACTGCTGCCACCAGGCAATTAAGGTTAAATGACAAGATGCCAGCCTCAGAAAACGTTAAAGCTCTTTAGTTAAGACAATCAAAGAACCAGCAATTATTAGTCACTGCAGAAAACAATGGCTGATCGTAGCTGTACAAACAAGATTGAACAACCACCAATTGATTAGCTGATGCTGCAATGTGGCACTAAACATTAGCAAATGACATGAATCTTCAGAATAACATGGTGTAAATATTAAATGTAAATTATTACTATTTTCTATTTGCAGGGAGCCATAGCCTTGTACAAGTGGCCCCTACCCCCTGAGATCGAGAAAGACCCTACCAAGATGTTTGGTAGCTTGGATCCCAAGCTGGGATACTTTCAGAAGCTTCCCAAGAACGACCCCATGGGTGTCCTAGTGAGGGTCTACATTATCAAGGCCATCGACCTTCATCCTACTGACGTCAACGGAAAGGTATAGCAGGATTTAAAACAATTTATCATTGTATTTCAGGAAGGAAATTGTTCTGTTGAATGATTTTATATTCATTTCAACATCAGGATACATTTACAAACAATAAATTATCAGAGACATGAATATATTGATTACAGAGTGGAATGTCTACGCATTACAAAAGTCAGTGCTGAAAGTTAGGAGTGAACATAAAACTTATACCTTATGTATATATTAGGGGTATTAAATAGTGGCAAAAGTTACAATAATACAAAATTGAAAGAAATGTAGATTTATAGGTAGATGAACAGGAAGTGGAGATAGAGGGTAAGAGAGAGGGAGAGAGAGAGAGAGAGAGAGAGAGGGAGGAGGGTTGATGAAGAAGAAGAAAAAAGGAGTGTTATAAGAACTTTACAGATGATCAACATTTTTAAATGTCCTTTCATTATGATATGCACTTCCATTTCTCTCATACCTAAACCATCTTATCATCTTGTCTTTGCCTGCAGGCCGATCCGTATGTCCAGATACACCTGGGCAAACACAAGACCAACGACAAAGAGAACTATGTCTCCAAGAACCTCAATCCAACCTTCGGCAAGTAAGTAGACAATTATTGTATTCAAGTAAGCAATTTGTTTTTATTCATACAAATGGATGAATACTGATTATAAATGTAGCCTCTCTGTGTGGGAAAATATAATTTTGAGTAAATACAAATGTAAGTGTTTTGCATTTCCCCTGACTGCATGCACTTTATCCAGTTTTTATTTCATGTGTACAAATCATTTTACATGTTAAAAAAAATAAGAATAATGAATTGATGTATCACCTGTAAAATTGTATAGCATTTGGTGTCCTATTCTTGAGGAATAAAATGTCAGAATTTGTATGTCAAATAAAATTCTCCTCCTCTTTTCCCTAGGTGTTTTGAGTTTGAGGCTACCTTTCCCATGGAGTCGAAGCTAGCCATTCAGATCTATGACTGGGATATGATAGGATCAGACGATCTCATCGGTGAGACCATGATTGATCTTGAGAATCGCTACTACAGCAAGCATCGAGCAACATGCGGCTACTCCAAGGAATTCAATCTGTAAGTCTTTATGCAGAACACTTCCATTGTATCACAAACTAAGTTTCTAATTATTAGAACAACCATTTTGAAAAGTTCTGTAGTTAGCATGGGACAACCCTGTATGATACAAGCTAGAGAATTCCAGAGCTAAAGAGGATGTCCTTTGAGCCCATTCATCTATCTTTGAGATTTTAACCTGTATACAGTGTATTTCCATAGTAAGTTTTAACCAACCATATTCTAATACTTTTATATTTAAACTTAGAAAAACTTCCCCCACTTCATAATATTGAAAATGAGCTGATTAATGGTAAAGTTTGAAAACATAGAACATTCATTTAATCAAAAATTAACAATGATGAAAAAAGTAAACTATGACTGCAATTTGTCTAACAATATTTTATTTGCAATCACTTTACCACCATAAAGTACCTTGATGGCACCATAAGTGTTCAGGAAAAGTAGTCATTTTCAATGAACTTTAGGTGGGTGTGAAACTTATTGGATAATTTGGTAGGCCTGGTAGGGATTCACGGACATTGAAGATGAAGAAAGCAATTAACATTTTTATGGTCAATTCACGTCTGTAGATGCAGGTTGTTGTCTGCAAGATTTGTGAGTGTTTCCATTATCTGAACCTTACCGTTGTTAGTACTAGTCTGTGCATCAATGGTCTTGATACCTCATTGGACTGTGGATCACATGGTTTGCAGCTCAAGTCCAGTCGCGGCACTAATATATATGTCCTTTGGCAAGACATTAATTTACATGTCTCTTCTCCACTCGGGTGAAGAAATGGGTACCTGGTAGTAAGAAATTCTTTGAATGCTTTAGCGCCTTGTTATGGCGGCTCAGCCACAGCCAGGGTAATAATATAATACTGTTTATTAAGCGCAGTAGAGTATATTCAAATAGAAGCTGCACTATTTAAATGGACCTATAATTATCATCAATGTATTTAACTTATTCAGGTATGGATACAACAATTGGCGTGATCCTCAGAAACCTGCCCAGATTCTAACCAGACTGTGTAAGGAGCACAAGGTCGAACTGCGCTTCGCTCCGGGTCAAGCAGAGGTCGGAGACAAGATCTACTACGGAGAACAGTTCATTGAAGATGAAAGTGGTATGTCAAAAAAGCTTGTCTTAAATTTAGTAACTATGTAGAAAAATTGTCTCTTCTCCTTATATAGATTTACTTCATACCGGTCTGGTATGTGTTGAAGACATGTTTTAAATTGAGAAATACTCATGTACATGTAGATGAGTTACTGCATGGTTATTGAACAAGCTACCCACCATCCTAAAGACTGCCATATCTGTGGATCAGCTCAAGAAACCTTTGAAGGCCCACTTGTTTTGTTAGAGAACATAGATTTGTGAATATTTGTATTGGTTCAGCTGCCCTATTGAAGTGTTGCGTCATTGTTTAGAGTGCATAGATTTTTAAATATTTGTATTGGCTTAACTGAATTTATTGAAGTGTTGTGTCATTATTTAGATAGCATAGATTTTTAAATATATGTATTGGCTCAACTGGTCTCATTGAAATGTTGCATCATTATTTATGTGGCCCTTATACTACCTTATGGAGCAAATAGTGAAGTGCTTTGAAACTGCGAGGAAACCATACCTAACATTATTTCAACTTGATGGATTGGGAGTCTGATGTAAAATAATGAGGTTATGAAATGAATTAAATTGAGGCAACTGCTTCAAGGAGTCCGTCAAGGCTGCAGCCTATCACCATATCTTTTCAACATCTATGCTGAATTCATTATGAGAAAGGCTTTTGATGGGTTTGACTAATAGATGATTATTTTGACACCAATTTTGTTTTGTTTGACGTAATGTTGTGCAGGAAACAGTAAGGCTACTGATGACCTGACCTCATTGGAAGCACTGCTCCACTGGGATGAAATCGCTGAAGTGGGATGTAAGCTGGTCCCTGAACACGTGGAGACAAGATCACTCTATCATCCTGATAAACCAGGCATTGAACAGGTCAGTAGGGAGGAATGATCATGATGGAGAGAGGAAAGTTGGTTGAAGTGATGATGGCATGGAGATAGACATGATATTGTTATTCAAAGTTGGGACAGACGATGATATCAGTGATAACATTGACCTTGATTGTGGTGGTAGTGGTAATGATGACACTAGTTAGTGATGATGGTTTTGATGGGGATGATGTTTGTCATGGTCATAATTGTGATTGTGGTGGTGGTGGGGATAATGATGATGATATTGATGATTGTGGTGGTGATGATAATGATGATGATTATACTGATGATGGTGGTGATAACGATGATGATGCCAGTGGTGGTGGTAGTGGTAATGGCAGTGATAGTCGTAGTTATGGTAATGAAGATGATGATGATGATTATGATGATGACAATCACGATGGTAGTGGTGATGACCATTGTCGGTGCTGATGGTTAATTAATGGTTATATTGGTGGTGTGTGTAGAGGTGATGGTACCTTTGGTGGTATTGCTGATAATATTTTCCCCTCTCCTCTCTCCTCTACCCCTCCCTCTTCACCCCCAACCAGGGCAAGGTAGAGATGTGGGTGGATATGTTCCCAATGGACATGCCCCTCCCTCAAGCTCCGGTGGACATCTCACCTCGTAAACCCAAGCGCTATGAGCTGCGGGTGATCATCTGGAACACGGATGATGTGGTTCTTGAAGATGACTCCCTCCTGACTGGAGAGAAGATGAGTGACATCTATGTCAAGGGGTGAGTAGATTGAGGATATCAAACAATTGAATGAGTCAGGTGATCTACATGTATGAGTATATTGGTGTGGTACTTGTGTTTTCTTTTTTTAAATCAACTGTTTATAGAGCCAGATTAGTAGCACTCTGTGTAATAGAGTACCGAAGCTGTGACGTCATAAAAATCTATTTAATGGTTAGGAGCCAGAGCATATAACACTGAGTTCCCATAGGACATATATTCATTCAGAGGGTCATATCTCAGCCAATACTTAACATATTCAATTGGTTTTCGGCAATTGGACATTATTTTTGGTGTTCTTTTGGAATATGAAGAAAAAAATTGAGAAATTCTAAAAATAGATTTAATGCCCTCCTGGCTCCAAACAGACAATGTATCCCCTCAATCAAGTGGCATAGCTACAGGAGCATGCATGGTGGGACATGTTGAAACATGGGGAAGAACTGGGCAAAGAACAGGTGAGAGAAGGCCTGTACATGATGGGTAGAATAGGCAAGGGGAACATGAAAAAGAGACCATACAAGCCCTTATCAAGACCATACAAGCCCTTATCAAGACCATACAAGCCCTTATCAAGACCATACAAGCCCTTATCAAGACCATACAAGCCCTTATCAAGACCATACAAGCCCTGATCAAGACCATACAAGCCCTGATCAAGACCATACAAGCCCTGATCAAGGCCATACAAGCCCTGATCAAGACCATACAAGCCCTCATCAAGACCATACAAGCCCTTATCAAGACCATACAAGCCCTTATCAAGACCATACAAGCCCTTATCAAGACCATACAAGCCCTGATCAAGACCATACAAGCCCTGATCAAGACCATACAAGCCCTGATCAAGACCAAACAAGCCCTTATCAAGACCATACAAGCCCTTATCAAACCTTCCCCAACTCTTCCACTTAGCTACTTCACTCTCTGTTCACCTAGCAATATCCATGAATGAATACTGACCTCTTATATGTGTACACCAGCGCTTTATAAATCTTAGATATTATTATTATTATTATTACAAGGTCTTCTGAAACCAGGCGGTCATAGTATTTAAACTTGAGGGAAATGAGAGAATGTAGTGGACAAAATTTTAATATTATAAGGGTTGGTGGATTTTCATCTCTCAGATGGTTGCTTGGCCCGAGCGCGGACACCCAATCCACGGATGTCCACTACCGTTCCCTGACTGGAGAGGGTAACTTCAACTGGCGTTTCATCTTCCAGTTTGACTACCTGGCCGCTGAGGAGAAGATGGTCATCAAGAAGAAAGAGTCTGCCTTCTCCATCGACGAGACGGAGTACAAGGTCCCGCCTAGATTGAACCTTCAGGTCTGGGATGCAGATCACTTCTCTGCTGATGACTTCCTTGGTATGAAAATTATTTTCTCTGAAAGCCCCACTGTACTACTTGTAGCTACTTGCTCCCTCTATATAGAAAACTTCCCCAATCGGTGCCTGTTGGTCCCCCATGATCCTCTCTTTCTTATGATAATTGAGAGCTGAGTTAATGAGATAGCCACCTGTCAGTGACCTCGCTGATGATCTAATCCCTTCTGGCTGAACTAGTACAGCCAGCCTTTAACCATTTACCAAATAACCCTCTCCTGTCCTGTCGATCACTGGTAGATTTAAGCCATTGCTTACTGGAACCAGGTGGTCCCTGTGTTAAAGCCTATAGGAATGAAGGAATTCAGTAGTCAGCGGGTTAAGAAATGTGATGGAAGAGGCATTTTATTGCTTGTCCTATAATGCACCAAAAGTGCCCCCACCCTAACAGAGTGCTAGGTCTTAGGGTTAGATTAGGGTTTGATAAAGCATTTGGTCCAGGGTCAAAGTCACAACTTTGTTTAGTGTAGCTCTTACAGGTGTATATGAAGCACTGGGCAATTATCTTCTAAGGCTTGGTTCATACAACCATCTGACAATGAACTCCTGACAATTCTGTTCTATGAGTGAAGGATCAGATCCTAGATCTGAACCTTTTCCATTTTGGACCAAGACTTTCAAAAAAACGTTCCATTGAGTCATTTGAAGCTATCTTTGTCATTCTTTTAAATCTTACCGCAATGTCTTTTAATATTTGTCAAACTGCATTTTATGAATATAACTTTCTAACTGTGACTTCCAAATAATGTTCTATCGAGTCATTTAAATTTTAAGCTCAACATGTATCAGTATTTTATCCAACTACATAATGTAAATATCAAATTCTGATTGTGATACATTGTGTGTACAGGATCACTATCACTTGATCTGAACCGGTTCCCGCGTGGGGCCAAGACGTCCAAGAAGTGTTCCATCGATTCATTCCGAGCCATGAACAAGATGTCAATCTTCAAACTCAAGAGAACCAAGGGATGGTGGCCTTTCATTGCCAAGTCAGAGAAGGAAGGAGAAGAACTCACGGTAAGAAAGATCATACTTTAAAGGGCAAGTCCACCCCGATATTGAATTAGTTTTAAAGCCCCACTGCAGTACTTATAGCTACTTGTGCCCCTCTATATAGCACACAATGCCTAATCGGTGCCTGTTGGTCCCCCATGATCCCCTTTTTCTTATGTTAATTGAGAGCTGATTTGATGAGATAACCACCTGTCAGTGACCTTGCAGGGAGGTCTAATCCCCCTGGCAAAAACTAGTGCAGACAGGCTTTAATAATAATAATAATAATAATAAAAACGTTACTTATAAAGCGCTTACCACCGAAGTCTCTTAAAGGGAAAGTCCACCCTGATATTGAATTAGTTTTAATAAAAGCATAAAAATGAGAGAAACAAATCAGTGAAAGTTGAGCAAAACCTGATTAGAAATAGGAAAGTTATGAAATTTTTGAAGTTGTCATAAGTGAAAGACATATTGGAAACACTGTGACATCATGCAAGCTCCTTTCCAATTTGCCCTGTACAGAAATATTCATAAAGTTCATTTTCTTAGTTATTGATGATGGAATAGATTTTTTTCATACAGGGTTATATGAAAACATACTTGCAATAATTATAGGTAGGGTGAATATATGTCAAAAAAATTATAATTTTTTTAATGTTTTAAGTACAAGATAAATGGGAGGGGAACGCGCAAGATATGTCACAGAGTTGCAACTTGTGTTTGATTGCTTGCAACTTCTAACTTTCTTATTTTTCATTGGTTTTTCCTCAAACTTTCACTGACCTGTTTGTCTCATATTTCTGGTTTTATTAAAACCAAATTATTATCAGGATGGACTTCCCTTTTAAGGGGAGATACCCCCGTGGGTGGGGGGGGGGGGTAGTGAGCACGCAAACCACTTACAGTTCTCCTCCCCCCTCCCTCGCGTGCGCAAAGTACGAAAGCTTTGACATTTCATTAAATTATTAGAGAAAGAAGACGATTCGTTGTACTGTTCTCGACTCTTAATCCTTTTTCTTCCTACGTCCTCTTCCTTTCTTCTTTTTTCTCCTTTTTTGGGAGGGCAAACGTTTTTTTTGGGGGGCGACTGCCCCCACTGCCACCCCTGGTTACGCGCCTGATGTTCATTGACCTAATCCATAGTGAGATATGGCGGACTGTTGGCAAAATGAGGAAGAATATCGCATATGCATCTTACCAAGCCCACCTTTAGGTTATAAATGGGTTTTCTCATCGTGCACCCATACACACATTTAGTGGGATACATGATGTAAAATTATTGGTCCACACATTGCATGCATATTACTCTGTCATTGCCATAAATGTATTTATGTATTGTGTAACTGAACCTATATTTCCCAGTGAGCTGACCCTCTAAGTATTACCTAAACACATAATGGATTCCTTCACTCAAAGCATTTCATCCTATTTGCCTCTCTCTGCCCAGGGTAAAGTGGAGGCTGAGATGGCTCTCTTGACTGAGGAGGAGGCAGAGAAGAGCCCTGCAGGGAAGGCTCGTGATGAACCAGACCCTCTAGCTAAACCAAAGTATGTCCAATTTTCAATCAGTATCTGTCTTTATTCTATATACCAACTTCACATAATGTAATAATTACTGACACTATTATTTTGTAGCGTGGAAAGTCTGTTGTTATTATTTTCAGGTAGCACATGGAGGATGTCCTCTGTGTGTGTGAACATTAGACACAGCTGGAGGATGGTGTGCCCCCATCCGTGTCCTTCAACACACTTTATCATAATAACATCATAGTTATATTTTGTGTACCCCCTTTACTTTGTATGAAGGTACATGCACATAGAAGAGGATGTTGTTTTACAGGTTGTAGAGTGAAACGCAACGGTGCTTCAGGAGAAGCAGCAAGTGTTTCTACAGTGTTTCTAAGACGAGTGACGAACAGAAGAACGGTAATGGTTGTTGTGATGAGAAGGAGAATTAGGAAGAGACTGGGTTGTGTGGTATGGAATGATAAGAGTGAATTGATGAGAGAAGATAGGAATAATGAAGAAAGAATAGGAAGATAAGAGAGATTTTATTAAGGGTAGAACAAAACCATCAGACATGCAGAGAAGAGAACCATTGGAGTTTCTGACGGCTCCTGATGATGAAAGTACAGATGATCCACAGCATTTGTATGTCACCATTAATCTGTTTCAAACATACAAAGGCGCCGCTCCTCCAATAGTTATGGACTACACATTTGCTTGAAAAGATGGGTTTTGAGGCCTGACATAAAGCTCTCTAGCTTGTCGGTGTCGCGAAGAATAGGAGGGAGGGAGTTCCAGAGGCGTGGAGCAACTGAAGAGAAGGCACAATCACCATACACCCGGAGTCGTGTAGGTGAAACTTGGTGAAAAAGTAGTCCTGACAAACGTTATCCAGGACGAGAATGATTTTCTTCTACCAGGGAAGCCACTAATCCTGGGGACTGATCTCCCTGTCTTCATGACATCATTGATGAACATCACTGCTAGCAGATGCATGCCAATACAAAAAGATGACCATACAGAGAGAGATGGTATCGTGGCAGAAAACTACTTCAAAAGAATTCTGGCTAGTGGTCATCCTCTCTTCATAAGTATATATCACAGGTAGCTAATATGCAGTTCTTGGAAGCAATGTCCCCAGTTTCTTCATAACAAGCTATGTGAACATCATTGCTCTCAGATATACCTGTACCACAGTAACATGACATGGAGGCACATCAGATATACCACTCATTATCTGCCATGATCATTCATCATAACATCAATTCAATCAGATAGGTGTGGAATAGATAGCTGCATCCCTATGTTAATGCCATTTGTGATCCTTGATTATTGAGTATTGTTTATTTACATGTTTATGATGATGTAACTATTTTGGATATGTGTTCTCTTTATATTTTTCTTAAACGTTGGTGTCATCTCTGCACCCTTGTCACAGCTTTTATTCATCGTGTAACATTTGTATCCTAACATTCCTTTTTTTTCTTCCTCAAAGTGCTCTTTTTTCATATATATATGTTTTTCTCATCATTACTAAATTTCACCAAACCCTTTAATAATAATGAATAACATCATTTACATGTACCTCCATTATGACTATTAGGAACACAGAAAGTTTTCTTTTGATATCCTTCATACTTGCTGATAACATGAAGCTAATGATGAGGCATTTCTTTTAAACGATTCAGTATACAACTGGAACTAAAAATGGAATAGAACCTCTGTCTACATGTATAATTTACTATTGTCTGAAACACATTTTGCTTTGTTTAATATATTTATACTCTGCTCTCTGTGTTGTTTGCATTATGCACTGTTCATTCATCATGACACTAATATTTTTGTTGGTACATATTCTTGAAAGCACCTTTCACAATAACCCACTAACTCATTGATGTCTTGTTTATTTTTACCCTTTCTCCATACCCATCCTGCATGATATGCATGCATCTTGTGGTACTTATTTTGATGCCCTTTTTGATATTTGCTCTTAAATTTTTGTTTTTGTTAATGTCACATTCTCCATGTAAATGAGGGACTACCTAACATCTACTACTTCTGCATCTTCTATCTTCATATCTACTACTACTTCTATGTCAACTACATCTTCTACTTCTTCTACATCTTCTACTACTACATCTACTACTTCTTCTACATCTTCTACTACTACATCTACTACTTCTACATCTTCTACTACTACATCTACTACTTCTACTACATCTTCTACTACTACATCTACTACTTCTACTACATCTTCTACTACTACATCTACTACTACTACTACCTCTACTACTTCTACTACATCTTCTACTACTACATCTACTACTTCTACTACATCTTCTACTACTACGTCAACTACTTCTACTATATCTTCTACTACTACATCTACTACTTCTTCTACATCTTCTACTTCTACATCTACTACTTCTACTACATCTTCTACTACTACGTCAACTACTTCTACTACATCTTCTACTACTACATCTACTACTTCTTCTACATCTTCTACTACTACATCTACTACTTCTACTACATCTTCTACTACTACATCTACTACTTCTACTACATCTTCTACTACTACGTCAACTACTTCTACTACATCTCCTACTTCTACATCTACTACTACTACTACCTCTACTACTTCTACTATATCTTCTACTACTATATCTACTACTTCTACTACATCTTCTACTACTACGTCAACTACTTCTACTACATCTTCTACTTCTACATCTACTACTTCTACTACCTCTACTACTTCTACTACATCTTCTACTACTACATCTACAACTTCTACTACATCTTCTACTACTACGTCAACTACTTCTACTACATCTTCTACTACTACATCTACTACTACTACTACCTCTACCACTTCTATTACATCTTCTACTACTACTTCTGCATCTACTATTTCCACATCTACTACTACTTCTACGTCTACGTCTATTACTTATACTGTTACTACTACTACTACGCCTGCTGCTACGTCTATTACTTTTACATATCTACAATTTCTTGATCTACTCCTACTACTATCTACTGTATAAATTGTTATATCTTTTACATTGATATTTTCCTATTTTACTATCATATTTTCTTATAAAACTGTTTATTTTATTCTATCGCTTTGGTTAATGATGCTGCTTGTTCATTTCTATGTTTCCTGTAATTTTCTTATTCAATCTGTAAAACTGGCTTTTGGCTGCACTTAACTATTTGCATGGCTCCTGCATCCCCAAACCAAATCTCTCCATTCTGGCAACCTCCCCTAATCCTACTAACAGTCGTCCGGATACCGCCTTCCGCTGGTTCCTCAATCCGTTCCTGACCCTGCGGTACATCATTTGGAGGAGATTCAAGTGGTACATCATCAATGGAATTATTTTCCTCCTCATCCTCATCCTCATCATCCTCTTCGTCTACAACATGCCTGGCTATACAGCCAAGAGAATCATCGGCGCTTAGTCGTTTCTAGCTCACCATTTACTCAAAAATATTGTAATTGTATTAAATTTGGTCAATACTTTCCGTAGAAGTTAAGTTGCATATTACTATTCCCCCTCATCCTCATTGTCCATATTATTTCATTTTTCATCTAATACATAACTGACTTTACAGGAGTCCCTCTCCATTTGTTTTTATGTCCTGTTATATTGACCTCAATCAATGTTTTCAATTCTTTTGGAAGATTTCAAAAACATCCTCATCTTCCATAATTTCTTTGTCCTTGTTCATTTCATTTACATCAAGACTGGCTATATTGCCAAGAGAATCATCAGCGCTTGATGGTCTCTTTCCATTTTTGTGTTCATTGGATGGAATCATTTTTTTAATTGATGTTTACAACACTTTTCGAAAATGTCTAATACATCAGCATCATTCTAAATTACTTTTATCATTATCCTCTTTATCTACTACATTCTTGCCAAGACACTTCATGATCCTTTTGTTTTACAGTAAAAAAAAAATAATAATAATAAAGATAAGTGCAGCAGAAAGAGATTTTGCTGTGAAATACTTTTTTAATCAATTATAAAGCATCGTCATTGAAAATAAATTAAACATTGACCATAGAGAAAAATACTTTTCCATAAGAGAATAAACTCTAATGCTAACTCTTGCTAACAAACAACCCATTAACACTAGCTTTATATTTCATTGTTGCTATGTTTGTTATCAATGTCTTAAAAACTTCTAGAGAAGGTTTGTTATATTTGTCACCTCCCTCACCATCTTTCATTTCATCTAAAATGTGCCGAGCTTGCGATAGTGGAGTCCATCGGCGCTAATAGTCCCTGCCATATGTTCCCATGTTCTGTTTGTGATCCATCTTCACCAAATTAACATTGCACGTTGTGTCTGTACAATCATAAGTATTCTACCCAATAATATCTCAAGCATAAATTCAAATATTGTATGTGTATTTTAAATGAGATGATAAGTATATACATGTGCATTAGTATAGCACTAATCCATGGTTTCTGTATTAATATATGTAGTGTATAAATATGAGTATTGTATTAGTGCAAGAATCAGCAAAAGCAGGGCATTATTGGCATGACTATTATTGAGGTTACACTGTTACTATTAAACCTCTAAATGTATTGTATAAATGCATGTAATGTTCATAATATACTCCAATAGCATGACCATTGCTGTATTTTATGTTTTACACAGGGCAATATTTGTCACCATCACAGTGCAATATTTGTGAACATCATGGTGCAATATTTGTGACCATCATGGTGCAATATTTTTGACAATCATAGTGCAATATTTGTGACAATCATGGTGCAATATTGGTGACCATCATGGTGCAATATTTGTGACCATCATAGTGCAATATTTGTGACCATCACAGTGCAGTATTTGTGACCATCATGGTGCAATATTTGTGACCATCATGGTGCAATATTTGTGACAATCATAGTGCAATATTTGTGACCATCACAGTGCAGTATTTGTGACCATCATGGTGCAATATTTGTGACCATCATGGTGCAATATTTGTGACCATCATGGTGCAATATTTGTGACCATCATAGTGCAATATTTGTGACCATCATGGTGCAATATTTGTGACCATCACAGTGCAGTATTTGTGACCATCACAGTGCAGTATTTGTGACCATCATGGTGCAATATTTGTGACCATCATGGTGCAATATTTGTGACCATCACAGTGCAGTATTTGTGACCATCATGGTGCAATATTTGTGACCATCATGGTGCAATATTTGTGACCATCACAGTGCAGTATTTGTGACCATCATGGTGCAATATTTGTGACCAACATAGTGCAATAATTGTAACAACCTATCTTAAATCTTTCACTTGCTTTATTTTGGGACTTGCAATTTACTGGTGATTTTGACGGAGCCATCATTTGGCTACCTATTCATAATTAAGATATCAGAAGTACATATTTTTGAATTGGCCAAATAAACAATGATCTATTTTTTTTAATTTATCAAATGTCTTGTCAAGATGCCTGCCACAATTTAAATAACTGATTATATTGGGCAGTCCCCTTTAGTATTTCAAACAAATTTATATGTTTTCTTCTGTTTATGTGAATAAATAAGAGGTAATAGAAGAGTAATTTAAAAAAATGTGCAGGCTTCAAAGTAGCAAAGTTAGGAAGTAAGAAATCTGAGTTTGTTTTACTTGATCTTATAATTATGTTACATGTATATACTATATTTATGTGTTCAGACTTTTCTTTTTTAATATACAGTCCATAAACAGATGATATATAGTTCTTGCCTTTGTGTATACTTAAAGAATCTACAACTTTAGCATCTATTTTTATAACATGAAATATCTCATCAAGAGCATGTTATACTGCATTGTGAATATATATATATATATATATATTGATTTTTATGTTGTTATTGCTCTGGCAAAGCAGAAGTCTTTTAATTGGTTACAATTAATTTGTGGTCACTTATTTGATTAAGAAGTTAGCCTTCCTCGTTCAGATGTGCATTTACTTAATATGTTATGATGAAACATACTATATTTATTTTGAATGACAAGAACTAACTATAGGATACCATAATTTATATGCTTACATTTTGAAGAGAAAAGTGTGGCTCACGTATAATGAGCTTCCATATAATGAGAGATGATGTTAAGTAAGATTTGTCGTGATATATTATATATTTTATATATTTCTTGGAATCTTGTGGGGTAATTAAGGCAAATGTATAGCTTTCATGTAATATTCTGCATGGAATGAACAAACTACTTACAGGAAATGACCTTCTTACATAGTACATATCCATATATCAATTATACATGTATTCTATCCTTAAGCTCTATGCATAGACGCAGTTTAAAAATGTATGATGTATTGTATTGTGTTGGTCCAATTTGGTACTGCATGTTTGACTTTATTCATTTTCAAAATTAGTCATCTTGACATGGTGTAAGAAATGATGTTAAATTGAGAATATAAAATGACAGTCTTCCTGTAAACTATAATACTGCGATATGACTACTATTGTACAACCATACAAAACATATCATATAAATGAAGAGCATGCTCACGACAAGAAAAAATGGAGGTAGGGAGTGTCATCATGGCGCGAATGTCAGTAACCACTTGTAAGAGGAAAAAGGCTGACTCTGATGAATAATGATGATGGTGATGATGATGATATACTAGATATATATTGATTATTTGATATTGTGTGCAATGCTTCTCAAGATACCTATATTATATGATATATATATTATACAATTTATTTATCTATAGCTTTATATACATTTATGTGTACTTGGAGGGCCTTTATATATTATATTACATACACTTGACTTTGAGTTTATATGTATCAGTATTGTAATTTTGCGCGTAGGACCAACAGTGATGAGTTCGTCCAAATTGTAGAGAGTGACCTCTGCCTGTATTAAGGACTAATAATTGGATGTTTATTGTATAATATTGATTCCTGTAAATTGTTATAGTAGTATTGTAAACAAATCCATGTGTTGTCATGTGATGTCTGAATAGGTTTGAATAAATGTCTGTGACTATAAACCATACATGTTTGTGCACATGTCATCAATCTGTTGTTCATTCATGTTTAACCATAAAGTTTTGATTGATTTTTAGGATTTTACTTTTACAGTCAAACCTGTCTATAGCGCCCGCCGAAGGGGAACAGAAAAGTGGTCTTTGTAGACAAATGGTCTTTATGCACAGGTTCCTTTAGTACATGTTTCAATGACAAACCATTTTCAAGGGAAACCAAAAATGTGGTCTTTGTAGAGAGGTGGTCACTAAAGCAGGTCTGACTGTCATTACTTCTACCGGTACTTACTTTGAGAAGGCCTATACTTGGCCAAGTTGATGTTTATTTTGTGGATGTTTTTACAATTTTCCTGAAAAATTCAGGTTTATTGTGTGATTTTTTTACATAGAAAACTGTAGAAATGTGTTAGGGGTTCATTATGCATTCTTAGGTTGGTTTTATATCCAAATTGATGGTTTATTATCATAAATATAACTTTGTGATTTTACTTTATTATGAATTTAATTGTGCAGTGCAAGTACTAGTTTATTCTTGTCACCTTTTGTTTGAAGACTTTTCTAATTATCTTCTCTCTGTTTGTTTTTTCCCCAAAATTCCCCTTTCCCATTCCTGTCAAAATATTATCAATTTCTAACCCTCTATTTAATTGGTGATAAATATTACATGTAATGTTTTAACCCATGTACTCCTGGTGGTGTCACTATATATGGTATTGTGTGGGAAATAAACCTTTATATTATGCTGGATGTTTGTTGTAAATCATTTATTGATTTCTTTTTTTTCTTCATACATCTGCATCTAACGTGCTGGGATTGTAAATGTTTCATTACTTCTTCATTATACATGGCTAATTATGTATTAACTGATATTTTCATTCTAATTTATTTCATATTGGGGAAACTGTGGAATATTCTTTTTCTTTACTGAATGTGTTGTTATTCATTTTTTCTCTCTCTCTCCTAAATTCCTATTACTTGTGCTGGGAATTACTTTGTTGATGGATTGTAATGGTTTATTTGTCATTGGATAATGCAATAACTGTAATTTTGGAAATTTGTATTTCAATGTGGTGTGCTTGATATTTTCATGTGCATATGAATCACTTTCTTCCCCCATTTTATCGCTATGGAAACTAACTCATTTCCTTTTACTGACAAATCTCCTCCCGACTCTTTTTCTTAAAACTTTTGACTTGGATATCCTGGCTGACCCCCTCCCCCCCTTACCCCCTCCTTACCCCCTCCTCCCCTACCCACCGTTCCACTTGCTGTGGACCCCCCCCCCCCCCTTGTGGATTACCCCTTGGTGTCACCCCTCAGTCGTCCTGATACGTCATTCATGTGGTTCATGAGTCCATGGAGAGCTCTCAAGTTCATGATCTGTAACCGTCTCAAATGGCTGTGTATCAAACTCCTCGCCGTATCCCTCGTCCTGCTTCTAGTCGGTCTCTTCATCTATGCCTCGCCTGGATATATAGTCAAGAAGATCCTTGGAGCATAGCAGATCAATATTGTCTTCATGCGATGCCAATTTGATGATTAGTTACTCTTTATATTATTATTTCTTTCTTCTGTATGCTCTCCACCATTAACTTCACTCATGTCACCCTAGGCAATGTAATGTCTCTTTTATTGAATATCTTGTTGGTCTTTTCATCTATGCCTCCCCCTGGATGCATAGTCAAGAAGATCCTCGGAGCCTAGTGGATTATTATCATGGACAGTGTGATGCCAATTTGAAAATGAGTCTGGCTCTTTGTATTTAAAGAAAAAAAAATTACAGTTATTTTAATGCAGTCATTCATTTTGGTGATATTTAATTCATAGTCAAATAAGGGGCAGTTTATTGTGATAACAATCTTCAGAAAAATATTTGTATACTAATTGCATTTAATATGTACTTACCTGTATTCTGGTAGAGTTTAAACTTGGTCAATTTGGGCTTAAATTGAATGTTATAATAAATTGGAAAAGCAAAGTTTGAATCCCTTTGATGCATAATTTTTTTTTAATTTTTTTTTTCCCTTGAAATCCATGGTGTAATGGCTCTAAAGTTACTACAAAAAGCAAAATACTATTATTTAGAATGTTACTTGAGAATCTGAATTACTGCATTCATGTCATTAGCTCAGTATTTGATATGGGGGGGGGGGACAGATTAAAATTTGAGTTTCTCTTTTTTATTTATCAGCCAAATTCGATGTTAAATCATACTACATGTTTGTGGGGGGGGGGTACCAAATTTTTTAGGGTTTTAAACTGTTTTGCTTGTTGAAATTGTACTAGAAACAATTCTTGCTTATGGTATTTAAAGGGTTCACATCACTACCAAAATACAGGTCATTAATGTTTGGTGATTGTTTGTCCTAACTGCACTACTTACAAGGGAGATTTATACCCCTAAACTAATCTTTCCGCACCTCCTCCCCCACCCTGCCCCCGAACTCTAGCCGCCCTGATACCTCCTTCATCTGGTTCCTGAACCCTTGGAAGGCACTGCGTTACGTCGTCTGTAAGCGACTCAAGTGGTTGCTCATCAAATTGGCACTCCTCTCGCTTCTTGTCATCTTTATCGGTCTATTCATCTACGCCTCCCCAGGCTACACCGTCAAGAAGATACTTGGAGCATAGCGGATCATTGTTGAAGCACTTCTGTGATGCCAATTTGAAGATTTGTGCAAATTAAGTGTAATAAAGGGGAATCGTGCTAATAGAGTTAATTCTTAACCTTCTTTTCCTTGATTTTTATATGTTTTTTCTTCAAGTATTTTTTTTTTCACTTTTCCTAATTTACTTCCTTCTCCCTGAACTATAAAAAGTAAAAATGTAATGTTTAATTATTTATAGACTGGTAATAAAAGAGGTTATAAAACAATTCTATTTTTTTATAAGGGAATCATTTATATATAAGAAAAATATTTGACAGCCTATTGAATGAGTAACACATAGTCAGAACCTAAAGAAATTGCACGGCTATTAAAGTCAATTACTATTAAGAACATTAATTGCCTGAGTATGTTTCTTTGCTTTTGCATCATATTGTTTAGACTCTTCATGATATCAATCCTCAGAAAGTTCTGTTACATTGAATTCAACAATTTTCACCATCAAGAAAGAGACAATTGCAATGAATGTAAAAAGAAAATAAGTAAATTCTGACTTTCCTCATGAAAACATTCAGCAGGAACGGAGAGTAATGATAAAGATTTGATGTGTAATCAAAGAAATACTGCGAGAAAGTGCAATTAAGAAGATTAATGCAGTTTAAATAATAACCATAGTCCTATTTCGTCCTATTTACTTGAGTCCGCCCACTGCACTGTTTGGAGCGTGTACTAATATACTTACTTGTGGTGTGTTGATTGCAATTGTTTCTTCTTTTATTTCGACAAAAGAAAACCATATGGACACATACATAGTGATAATAATGATGTTAATCGTAGAAGAATTCATTTGATTTTAAATTTGTTTATCCTCTCAAGTAGATGGTAAGTCCTGATTATTCTTGTTGAAAATCCTCAACTTTTCTCTGATTTGGATCTACACAATGATTTCAAATGGTAGATTTTGTAGATATAAATTGCACTAACTCAAACCAAAGCAATCTTATCTGTAATTCTGAAGATATTGTGTAGAGATTTAACTGTATGTATTTTGTATATTATTGTATTTTGTGGGATCATGTATAAAAGGAAAGAAGGTCAGTGTTAAGATAATATGTAGGCAATGTACTAAATGTATAAGAGTACTTAATGACATTCAGTCTTTCAGCATAATTTGGTCAGGTATGCACTATGTTATATATATAGAGGAGATTTGCTTTCATTATATCTATAATGTGATGTATTCAAAATGTCAAGTTCTTAAGGTTTTTGTAGAGCTTTTTCAACCTGACAGATTACTAATCATTCTGTATCAATTGTAGACATTAAAATGTCACCTAATGAATATGATATTTACATTTGTCAACGAATAGCAAACTTTCTGCATTGCTGAGAAAATTGTTGAAAATATTGTCGGTATTGGAAAAACTCATCTCCAATTCCTCAGAGAATTTTTGACAAACATAATATTTATTTTAATGAGTTTGATAAGATCGAAAAATGTATACCGGTATGCATTTGCTCACTTGGTGCCTTATCCGGAGAATGGACATTAAATACTCTTTTTTTTCAATTAGTTTCTAATGACACAACACTTCTTCTATATTGCATACTCAGAATGAATAATGATTTTCAAACTAAAGTGATCAAAAAAAAAATTCAAATTAAATTAAACTTCCCACTCTTGAAATGAAAGTAATGATGAAAATTGATGATAATTAATTGTACGGTATACAATATCAAAATGATTCTTTATGAAGGTTCTTTAAGTCTTATAGATAAATTTGAATGTACTGCTACTTCTGTGTCATCAGATCATACATAATTGTCTTGAAAATAGGAGTCTTTGAAATTGTAATGTCAGCTAATATTACCTTGGTTCATCCATGTAAAACATTGATTTTGTATTTTGCTAATAACAGTACTAATTCTTTCATATATCTCCATGGATTTGCAAACTACTGCAATATAATAGACAGTATAATGATTAAAATGTCAGGTAGGCCTATTCTATTTTTCAACAGTTTTTATATGTATGTATAGGTTTTTTTATGAATATTCAATCTTTTGTATTTCATAAATCCAGCATAGGCACTAAATAGCAACTCATGTGCCTTAATATTCAGTATAAATTTGTTTATATTTTGATGGAATAAGAATTAATGAATAACTCATATGTGCTCTATCTTTCAGAAATATATTTTGTTGTATAATCATTATGGGACAATAATTTACAGTATATGAATTTATAATGTACACAGTGACTATGTGAATATTTAATTGTGATGCAGATCTAGGATTTGCCTGATGTTTGGTATGCCAATATATATGCCATCGTTATCTTTGTCCTCTTGGAGCTATGTTTATCTCCTATAACTTCACAAAGCCCTTCTGGCTTCCATGAGATGTAATGGCCTGAATTCACAAAGAAGGTTAATCTTAATCCATGATTTAAACCTCCATAATAATAATAATAATAATAATAGTGGGTTCTTGTATAGCGCTCATGTCTGTTGGATTTGAAACTCCTGGCGCTCCTGCCCCCATAAAGATCATATATATACCCATGTATGGGTTCGTTTTAAATTGTCAATAGGACTCTTTTGTTGACATGCATATTTATGCTAATTTAGTCCATAGCGGAGGTTTAAACCAACCTTGTTTGTTAATTTGGGTCAGTGGGTAAAAGGAGAAATTTGATTTTGAGAAAGTATGTGATGATTGTACATGTATGTTATTAAGGTCAACTGACTTTTGAATGCAACTCTGTTTTTGTTTAAAAGAGCTAAGCTATATACTATCTCTATTATTCTGTTCAAATTATGTAACATTGTGAAGATGATTCGAGACGTTGGTTATTCCCTGTATGGATAATATAATGGTCAAGGCAATAAAATATATTTATACACTATACTATGTCATGTGTGGGGACTATTTGATTATATATGTTATTCATGATGCAGTTACATCATTTATTACTAAGTATTTCATTTTCTTCCTAGACCAATCTTGCTGCATTTACACTTCATTTTTTCCTAAGTTTCTTATCATTCATGCTGCGTTAAGGGATTGCTTGGCTAACTAACATTCTTTTTAGTTCCTCTATTTTGATTTGTAATTCATTTTATTTCCAAGAACACTTTCATTGCATGACTTTGCCGTTAACATTTTTTCTATCATTACTTCTTCTTATTTTATAGAATTATGTTTTGCTCATAGATAAATGTTTGATGTCCAATTTCAATGATTATTTCCCCTTTCATGTATACTGAGTGCTCTTTCATTTTGCTTTTCATTGCATTATTATTTTTCTGTGTATCCATTTGCATTTCCATATTTTTACATGCCATTATCATGATTATATATGATTTAGTTTTCATTGCATGCATGGGAAATACGGGAAAATTCTAACATCGCCTTACTCATAGTTCTTCCTTTTTTTTCTTAGCATTGCATCTACGGTGCATAGAAAATACTGTTTCTTTTTATGTTTCATTGTTGTTTCTTGTTTATGCATGCCATATACTTTAGACCATGTATTTAAATACAGTATTAGTAAAGCTCTCTGAATAATCATTACTCTCTAAAAAAAAATCGCGTGATCACGGACGTCACTCCTCTGGAGAGTGAAAATGTAGTGAAAATAGAGTGAACATTCACTCTTTTCTTCTTAGAGAGCACTCTAAAATCAATCGATTTTCACTCCTAAACAAGTGATCACGGACGTCACTCCCAAGAAAGTGAAAATAGAGTGAAAATTCACTCTCTTTTTTTAAGAGAGTAGAATAGAGAAGTTGATTAGTGCAATGACTTCCAAATTCTGTTCCCTTTCCTTTAGAAAAAAAAGAAAGATATGTTGCCATTATCCCAAAAAGGTGGTCAACCAGGGTTGGGGATAAATAACATCTATCAGAAATAAAATTTATAGGTTACACTGTTAATCCCATAATTGGAGTATAATTGAACATTACAACATTAAACCCCCCCCCCCCTTGAAGCCCCTGTTCATAAACCCATGGCCGTAAAAGTCTATATTCATATATGATCTACTTTTTAAGTGTACATGTATATTAACCATATCATTTATCTTTATCATTTTTCATGCTTCTCAAATGCTTGCCAATCACTTCATCGCTTGCCCATATTGTGTTAACCTTGTAGTCGT